GAAGGGGAGAGGGGAATTTTCTGACCATTTTAAATAAATAACCGAGGTGAAAATGAAGGCATTCCATTTGAGTGGACTGTCCCTTATGCCAAGATCTTCCATGCTTTTTAACAAGGAGAAAGACTGACCCCTCCATAGCCAAATTAAAACTAAAGGACTATGAGCAAAGAAAAGTTCAACTATTGAAAGTATTGCATCATAAAGATTCTCTCCAAACATCTGCCAACCTAGTCCAAATAGAAACTAACACATTTATCCACAAAGAAAGGTAAGACAGCAAACTCCAAGGAAAGACTGTTAAATACAACTATAAATCTGGCTCGAACAGCATCTTTATGTCTAACACAGCCCGCATTTTGCCATGGTAGGTTCCTTGCTAATTCAAAACAACCTCTCTGACCTAAAGTCTGGGAAGCCGTGAACATATAATTCAGGAAAATAGTTATTAATTTTGTCTCAAAAGATGAAGAACTGAAAAATACACACAAAGTTTTCCTAAAAGCAATTAGCAACTATAAATACCTACTCATAATAGCAGCAAAAAGATCTTAAAAGACCCAAACAAAAGAAAACTCTATTGCTGTTTAGTTGTAGCCATTGATAACATACATTATTTCTTATCAGAGGTTGAGACTCAATTCTTCTTAGAAGGTGGTTGTGATACCTGACAGAAGCTCCAGATCAGCCTCAGATCCCTTTGTGCTAGGCACTACAGAAACACAGGAATTGCTTCTGACACAAGTTGGAAACCCAGCCCCACCAGTGGCTCTTTAGGAGGAACCTTCCCTACCCAATCCCCCCAAACTAGCAGTTGGCTTTCCAACACAGGCTCAGTGGTGGGAGCTGAAGGCCTATGGAAATTAAGGGTCTACTAGTAATCTTACCTCTAGGATTTAAAATAAGAGAAGAGCTTGAATTATTCTGCCCAGCTTTAGAATTCCATTAGGGTACTTTACTGAGCAATCATATTAAATCAAATCATGCCTATTTTTAACACCAAAACACAAAGAGATTAAAGTGTTAAATCCCCATAATAAATAATACATCTCATCAGCTGTAGGCCATGAAAGTTGCAGGCAGATTTGCAGCTCTATGTATACTGGGAGCATAATCCTGAAGCCACTATAGATTTCCACGTAGAGATGAAAATAGATCAGTGGCATCTCAGGTTGAGGAAGGAAGCATTGTCATGAAAGAAAACCAATAGAAAACTGTGTTCTTCACTCCTGGTCAGTCCTTTGCTGGGCAACTCTTGCCTGTAGTAAACTAACTAAAAGAAAAGTCAGATGTTTAAAGAATGGGGTTTTATACATGCATTTGCCAATTGCTATGATGATTACCATTGTTGACTTTTTTTACATTTAAAGCCAAAGTAAGCTTGTGCTTATAAGCTAACAGAAAACTAATGGCAAACTATTAGAAAGAACTACAATCGTAACTGCTACCTTCAATTCTCCCTCACAATATCGTTAAGTATTGGCCCAACTATACTTTTCTCTCATTCTTCCCATCCCATCAAATTACGGCCTTCTCAAGCTCATTCCAGTTTGATCACAAAATTGCTGCTTCACACAGGACATGTACAAATTAGAAATGGAAGATACCAAAGCATTTCAGGAGAGCTCGCTCTTGTGAGTATCCTTCCAGCACGAGGCAGAGATAACACACGCTCTCTGCTGACCACCATTTAACCATGATGCCCCACTGAAATACATACTCATGGCCTATTCACGGTTCAGCATGCTCCACAGTACTTAGTAAACCGAGCACTCAAACGGTCTTTTTAAAATTACAGAGGACATAATTAAGCTCCAGAAATAAGCAGACAACAGCAATTTTAATATAAACATCCTACTTATGTAGAGAACTCTTATTTCAACTTGGCATTAATGACCAAACTCTTACTTCTGGATTCTAGCAAATCTCTAGAAGGCTTCCTTGAGTCAGGATTTCCTTGAGCCAGATTAAAATGTAAGGGGGCAAACTAATACCTATTTCAGACATTTTGACACATAACATCCCTTTTAATCAACAGAAAAAAATGGTCAGATCAGCCCACTGGTGATACCAGACCTAACAAACCAGCAACAACCTGAACGTGATGGAGACATTTGGCCTTCCCAGCAGCAGGCCATGGAAAAACAGATCACAACATATATATTTGAACAGGCCACTGACCAAATATAGCCAGCCCCCAACAATAACCACGTCCTGCTATCACACGCACAACACTAATTCTCATCTTGCAAACACTGACGTTCGTCGGGAGTCCAGTTCCTGGACAACCCCTGGAAGTTAAGATCATCAGTAGGTCTTTGTACAACTGGGGCCCTACTGACCGCAGGGGTTTAGCAAGTCAAATAACGGCCTGAAACCACCGCAGAGAGCCCATCCAGAGAGCCCACCGGCTCAAACCCCGAGGGTTCCCCAATACCCTGTCGTTATTTCAGCCACCGAATTCCCTACTGCGGCGAGGAAAACAACACTTTCGGGACAAGCCGGGGCTCAGCACCAACCAGAGAGCCATCCCGAACTTCGCTCACAACACCGCGCCTTCTACAGCGAGCCGTCCCCACCGACATCACCCCCGCCCCGGCCCGGTGTGGATCGCGGAAGGGGGGTTGGGGAAGCAACCCCCGGAGCGACGGGGAAGGGAGCGCAGCCGGGGACGGAGCATCACCCGCGCCCCAGCGACAACAAAGCTCCGGCCGGCCCGTGCGGGGGGAGCCCCCGGCGCTCAGAGGGGCCACAAAGTGACAGGCGGGCGCCGGGCGCCCGGCGCCCCCTCCCCGCTGCCCGCGGCCCAGCGCGGCCGAGCGCCCGGCCCCCCCCCCCAGCTCCCTCCCTGAGGTAAACAAGCGGGCGGCCCAGCCGCCGCCGCTCCCCCCTCTCCGCCGCCGCCCCGCACTCACCTCAGCGGCCCCCCGGCGCCCGGCCGGCCCCGGAGCGGCGCAGGCGGAGACGCACACAAAGGGTAATAAAGGGGGAGGAGGGGAGCGCGGGGGGTGGGGGCTGCCCAACTGCCTGCCGCTCCCCCGCCGAGGTGCCTCCCGCCGGGGCCGCCTCTCGGCTTCGCTCTCCCTCCGCCGACAGCCGCCGGGAAGGGGGGGTGGAGATAGGAGAGAGAAGAAACTCCCCGGTCTCCTCCGGCAGGGCTGGGGGTGGGGGGGAAGAAACTCGGGGCGCTTGGCACTAGCCCCCCGCCCCCGCGCCGATGCCGAGCGGAATTAGCGCCCTGTCCCTTTAACGGTATAAATAACGGGCCCCCCCGCCCCCCCCCGCGCTCCTCATCATCAGCTGCTGCTGCTGCTCCGGCTGCTGGGGCTCCGGCGCTGCCGGGGAGGAAGAGGGGAGGCAGACACTGCGCATGCGCCCCGGGGGAGCTCGGGAGGCTGCGGGGGGGAGGAGGAGGGAGGGACGTGCCTTCCCAGAGGGCCGCGCGCGCCGCGCGTACCCGGAAGGAGACCCGTCTGCGGGGCGGAAGGAAGTGGCTGGGCATGGACGGGGCGGAAGTGGGCTGGGTGGAGGGCAGCCTGCGGTCACGTGAGGGGGGCGGGCAAGTGACGCGCTGCCTGCCGGGGGCGCGGTGGAGAGGCGGGAGAGCGTGTGGCGCGAGGGTGGTGAGTAACGCGGCCGCTGCCTCAGGTGAGGCGAGGCACGGCACGGCACGGCACGGCACGGCACGGCACGCTGCTCCCCGCCTCGCCGGGCGGCTCTGGGGCGGAGAGTGCAGGGCAGAGGGGGAGGCGCCCTTCTTTTTCCGTCCTCGAGCTCTGGCAATGTCGCCGGTCCTGGGGGGGTTTGGCTTGCGAGGGCAGCAGCTGCTGCTGCTGCTGCTCCACTGCCGTAGGCCAACGTTGCTGGGCCGCCCCACCAGGAACTCTGCGGAGGCCGCGGAGGCGGGAGCGCGCGTCTCTCGGGTGTGGGTGCTAGGCGGGAGCGGCGCCGCCCGCTGGGCATGCACGAGGAGCTCGGCCCGGGCGCGGGGAGGTTTCGGTGGGATGCGGCGGCTCGGTATCTGGGTAAAAGACGGAAAGGAGTATGCTCCTCGACCGGTAGCCTTGTTTCTGTTGCAGTCCGATTCATCTAACTGGTTCAGTTCAGTCTCTGCTTTGTGATTTCGTGCCCTGCGCTCCTTCGTGTCTGATTCCGCAGTGAGGACTTCATTTGTGTGGGTTTTTTAGCAGCTGGTCTTGACCTTTTGAGGCATAGCTTCCGCGCTAGGGGCGGAACGGTGCTGGCTTTACAACAGAAGGAGCAAAACTGAGAGAAGCGGCTGTGCTAAAATAAGCATAAATTGTTGTGGAGAAAGTCTTGGAAGCTTTCTCTTAGCACGGAGAAGGACGATTGGCTTCTGCTTATCTTTTTTAGGGAGATACTAGTTATTATAAGCTGCACCAGTTTAAGCATGGGTAGCCGATTGGTAATGTCAAAACTTAAATGTTGTGACCTAACACGTTACCATGTGCCTGTGGCTTGTTCCAGCTACAGAAGCATACAGTTTTGAACTACCTGAAACACATTTAAAACATATGAATTACGTTTGGTGGTTGGTCGGTTGATGTACAAATGTACTAGGAGAGTAATCGATGTGGCGGTTCACAGTGATGTGCCTAAAGCGTAAATGCTGCAAATGCCACTCCCGCTTCTGTGATAGATCAGTTTGCGTGTGCCACCGTAGTGAACCTTGGCATGCCTGCTGAGAATAATCATCGCCATTAGGAACTTGATGGCAGACCTTGACTTCTGGCCTGTCAGTTACCTTAGGCACTGTTTGTGTTGCACTGAAAAGCATCCTAAAGCAGATGCTTTCAGAAGTTGCACGAAAACATGGATTTAGTATAAGCAGAAGTGAATTAAAAAACCTTTAAATGTTTTGGGTCTTTTTCACTGGTAAGGTGAATTTACCACATCTTTATCAGTTAAGAAAACATGTTTATTGCAACATTAAGTTCTTTGAAACTAGGAACTAACTAGGTTTTGTTGGTTATACTAAATTTGGTTTACTAACATTGGAATACAACTTCTGATTAACATTATTTAGAAAGACGTATTCTTTAGTATAACCTTTATGTTCTTTTTCTTATTTAAAGATCAGGCCTTCTGCAATGAGTAAGCGTAAGGCAAAGGAGAGTGGTGGAGCAAATGGAGAATGCATTTCACAGGTTAGTAACGTCTTATTGGTTGACTTTAAGTTCTGAAACTTTTCCATCCTCTGCCATCCATGTCATTCTGTAACTTTTTACTAGAGCAGTTAAAGAGACATATACAGATGCACAATATAATTTCTAGGGCTCTAAATGTTTTTTTGTATTTACGTTCTGTATTTCAGCTTCTCACCTGATGTTTGCTTCAAGTGCTACATAAATGATTTAACAGTAAAGGATGGTCTTGAGCTTTTGCTGTGATTTGTAGCAGCAGATTTGCATAAATCTATTTTTACCTAATCAGATTCTGTATCTCCCAGTTTGCAGGGTGAATCAGGATCTAGGTGGCTTGTTTTTAACAGCTTATGTGAGGCAGGACAGCAGCTGCCAAATTAGTTTTCAGTTCATTTGTTGGTTTTTTTTTTAACCTTTATTCTTCTGTTTCCTCAAAGTGACTGCTTAAAAACCGTGATGAATTTTGTAGTGAATTACTTCTGGTTTAGTGATTTCTGATATTTTAATCTTTTCTTCATTTACTTATAAGATCCCTTTACAGGTGGAAAACTTTTTCACTTGTGAACGGGCAATGCTGACTGCTTGTATTATTCACTAAACAGAATAAATTTGGAAATTAAATCAGTAAAGCTTTAGTAGAAGAAGAAGTAACTGAAAAATCAGACAAGTACAGCTCATACTAAAAATTCATTCCATAAAGTGGAACTATTAGTGAAACAGATTTCCATCTTCTGTCCATTATTTAGACTTGCTGAGGAGTACTTCACGGAGGTGCATCGACGTGTATTTATTTTTAAACCAAAACTGCTGAAAGCTGATGGTAATAGTTCCATTGTAAATTACAAATTAGCCAAGTGTTAGAAGGTAGCTGAACTGAATCTTCAAAGTAACTGTAAATTTGATACCAATATTTTACTCTGATAGGCTGCGGTGGTGTTGTGAGCGATGCAAAAAACGTATTCATTGAGGATTTTGGGGAATAATGAAGTGGGTTATGTGTTCTTTCAGTCAGCTGGTAAATATTTGTTTGCCCATATTACACAGGAAGTTAGAACTACAAATTAGACGAACTACTGGCATCATTCCGGTGGCAAGTGTAACATCCCTTTGGGTGGTGAAGGAAAGGAACTGTAGCAGAAGAGACAAAGGCACACACTGCTATCATTTAGCTGAATTTTCTGTGCTATAGGAGTCTGTAAAATATTGCTGCCTGCTGCAGTGTTATTCTTGCTTTCAAGACCCCTGTGTCAGTGATGACAATTAAAATTTCCATGCTCTTCCTATGGGTTTATTGCTGTAGTTACATTATTGGTACATCCCAAGCACTCTTTCTTGTGTTGTATCTGTAGGCGCAGAAAATCTTACGTGAAAGATTCTGTCACCATTGTGCTGCTGGAAAACTGTTTGGGATTGAACATCAGTACCGGTGAGTGAGCAGACTAAGTAATTTTGACTTTAACAACAGTAGAAAAATAATGAGATGAAGTTAGAATTTTCTGCTGCCTCTGTTTTTCTAAATTACATAGGCTTAAATGGCTTACAGCACAGTGCTTCTAAAAATTGCCTCGGATTTTGAGTTAATACAACTATTGCTCTGATTTTTGTATTTCTTGTCCTTGTTTCAAATCTGTAATTCCTGAAATGTTATTTTTGAGCCTGGAAAATACTTCTAGTGCATATTCTAAGGCTATATTTAATGACCTGAACAAGCAAAAATTTTAATTCTCATTGTGAATCTTTATTTTTACTTTAGATTTCTGCCTGTTTATTGGTAAGCTGTGTTAAAAGTTAATCTTAAACATTAGAGGCAAACATCGTGTTTCTTGAAGTAGGGATCCATGTTCAAAACTTCTTGGGGTCATCCAGATGTGGAGGTTAAAGTTAGGAAAAAGGGACCTATTGTGACATTAATGCTATCTTAATACTAAACCTTTTACAGGTGCAGGTCAAATTTTGAAAAAATGTATTTCTAAAGAACTTGCATCAATTTTTCCAAGAGTAACTTTATGCAAGTTGAATCACCTGATGGGAGCATTAGTTTCCTTTCTGTTAGAAAAAGGAAAATAACATTTCTGCTGTTAGTGTATTAAGTGTGGTGTCATATGTAGGCAGAGCTCACGTAGGCATGTTGTGAGAAAATGTATTTCTGTGATGTTAGTATTCTACACAGTGAGCCTCCCCTCTTCATATTGGAATTCGGAACAACAGTTTAGAGACTGTCCTCTGCTTAATACACCACCGTTGGTGAATTGAACTGGAGAAAAACCATAATGAACTTCCCAACTCTTATTTTCTTTCTCAAGATGTATCTGGGCTCTTTGCTATAGGTAGCTCCCAAACAGTGAGCAAACCCACACACATTTTCTACAACTGTTACATGATGGCTTTATCACTCCTTTAGAAGCAATTGCATAATGTCAATATTGTAAGTAAAAAAACTAACCAAACAAACAAAAAAACACCAAAAAACCCCCCCACAAAAAGCCCCAGCATTTGTAAGCATTTGGCAATTGGGAGTGTCAGTAGTTTTTATAAGTACTTTAAATGTGGTACTGTGCAATAAGTCTATCTGAAGATAACTTAGAGTTGTTTTTTGTTCTTTTAGATGGGAATAGAATATGAATTTGAAGCTCAGTATTGCTGTTACCATTCACAAGCTTTGAATACCTGAATTTAGCGTATAATCAGTTTTGTGAAGATTGTCAAAATGAATATATTCCACTAGAATATTAATTTTTGCTGGTGTCAAGGCTTTCCTTCAATCTGTCTGCCAATCTTTGTTTTTTTTTTTTTTTGTGAACTGTAGTAGTATCACAGAAAGCAATCTTCCATTTTTAATTTTTTTTTTTAAGGAAGAAATAGTTATTGAAATCTGCCCTTTCATGGGGAAGAATGACAGAACTTTAGTGATGCTCCCGACTTCTGCATGTTTTAATATTTTAAACTGTTTTAAGAGATGTGGTCGCTCAGCCTTTTGTACTTTATTGTCTTCCGTTTTGCATGCCCTGAGTGTTAGCTCTGAGAGCAAGTTGAAAAGCATCAAGTTTTCTCATGTTCTAAGGAATCTTTGAATTTTCCATAGTTTCAGTAAATGTTGTTTGCTTTGAAGTTTTTAACCTATTGCTGTTGTCAACACAGACATCTGCTGGATCTGCTGAAACGGACTACAGTTCATGGAGAAAGTAATTCTGCCCTCATTATTGGACCCCGAGGATCAGGAAAGACTGCGGTATAAACATGTATTAAAAGTTTACATGAGGTCAAATTAAGCACAAGTTAGATGGCCCCAATGAAGTCTTGGGAGGTTTTGGAGCTAGATTTTCATCTCTACCTGTTTGTAAAGAGAGAATTGCTAATTTTTTACATGCAATTTCAGATTAATCTAGGACTTCTTGTGAGCTAATTCTGTTGAATAACAAATGGAGAAATTGGTTTCTTAACAATCTTCTGAAATTTTTCAAATGCTGAGTTTCTACTGATTCTGTAAAATAGAACAGCTTCATGTGCTGCTGACAAAAACACGTGGTCCATCCTCGCAGTGACTTGCAGAAGTATGCCTGGGTTTGGAATTCTTTTTGTGTCTTCACCAGCTTTTGTGACACACCACAGGTACCCAAAACATGTAAAATGGAAATAATTTTATCAGAACAAGTTGCATTTGTCTTTCTGTGATCTGACAACATCATGGATTCTGCCTCCTTTCAGCATTTCTCCTATTGCAATCTCTGTAGTTCTTGGCACGAAGGAGTTCCCTTCATCTTTGCAATTAAAGCCATGTTTTGCATACTCTTTACAAGTTAAACTGCTATTGCTGTTGGGCCTCTGCTGTAAAAATGACTGAAAAGGCATCCAAAAACCGAAAGGAGTAGATTGAGGGACGGGTACAACTATAGCTGTTTGTATCTAGAGAATGGTGAAGTATCTTAATCCTGGTTTAAACATGTTGAAGAACATTGTTACCTTAATTGCTTGGAGGTAGAATAATGTATGGCAGTTCTAGTTTACAAGTGTAGGTTTTGTATTTTAAAGAAACTCTTTTTAGTTGAGGTGTGTGAAGGGTTGACATCTAAGGGTTATATACTTTAATATTGTGCAAACAGTAAAGTCTTTTATGAGCATATAATTTGATGAATAGGTTGGCTGTTACTGCAAAAAGTATTGAAGATTGAAAAATTACAAAAATTACTTCAGAGATCTCCCCAGGTGCGAAAGCAAGTGGCCTTCAATCTTTTAAATATAGTTGAGTAGTAATGAATTAATAGGTGGTAAACATATCCATGACAGAGCTGACCCCAGTCATTCTGCCAATTTATTGGTAGCTTTTTTATTTTACATTTCGGAAGGATTCAGTATTGTTACCTTCTGTTACACATGGCACTTCAGAAGTATAATTGCCAAAATACTGTGGTGTGGAAAGAGTTGATAAACTGATGGCAAATAAGGATTCCTCCACCTATGTACTTCCTGCTCTTGAACTGGGGTTTAGTTTTTCTTTATTAGACTTACAGATTTGTAAGTAAGCAACACATCCTCTTACAGTGCAGAAAATAGTTTTTAGATTGTTATTATTTACAGTGTAGACATTCAAGGTACTATTGAGATTGTTGCCCAAGGGGCTAACCTGAATGAATGGCATCCTCTTATTGGGCATAAACTTGAGAAATCAAGTGCATATGCTTTTTTGTTTAACATTTCCGTATAGTAAATATTGGCATCTGTAGTAGGAGTCTAACTATATCTGCTTTTAAATACAGTATCAGTAGAAAAGTAGGGATGAGCTCTATACTGCAAGCAAATTGGAGTACATGATAAAGATTTTTAAAAACCCACAACAGAATGATCCATCTAACACCACATGCCCCCTGATCACTAGAACTATTACTTAAAATAATACTTTAATGATTTTTATTATTTAAACTATTTTTGTTACTTAAAGTGTTTTTTTTTTCCCCCAAACCCTTTACATAAGACTGGTGAAGATCAAAATTCGTGATCCTTCCTTCCTGAATATAAATAAACAAATCACACATGCAAAATGAATTATTTTCTTATTTTATATCAAGTGAAAATCTTAGTTTTCAAAAAAGACTGCTAGAGACAAGCAAATTGTATGTGTGTATGTAACTAAATATGTATGTATGTATACATACATGTACATGGGAGCTGTAAATTCTTAGCTGAGGAAGCAAAAGCAAAGCGTAGCAAGTGCATAAGAAGTTAACATTTCATCTCTCTATATGTATTTTAATACAAGTTTCTGAAAAGTTTTGCCAAGAACAAGTTCTTGATAGACTGTATATTTGGGACCCCTAAGTTTTATAAGCAATAGTTGATGTAATTATGTGCTGTTTCGTGCTTCCTTACTTAAAGAGGAAAGGCAAAAGCATAGTGTCTTTAAAGATTTAAACAAAGGTTTTTGTTCTGCAGCATCTAATGGAGCAGTGAAACTGAATACTATACTAACTCGAGACAAATTCTCTCACATCTCAAACTCATAAAGATTCTTTGGATTAAGGCAAAAGCCCTAGATACTAGTCCCCAAAATGAGTGACTAAAATACTGTAGTAATTTTTACATTTCTTTCTTTACTAATTCAGCAGAATGAATAAATGTAATTGCTACAGTCATGACAGTGAATGTGAAATTTTCATTTTAGTATTTTAGTCTTGAAAGTACTCAAAAACATTATTACTTAATGAAACTGCATGTACTGTTTCTTATCTGCTAATAATCAATTTGTACACTTGTTACAACATAAATCTCCTTCTAAAGAAATAATGGTGGGGTTTTTTTGTTTCGTTTCTTTTTTGTTTCCCTAGTTATTAAATCGTGTCTTAAAAGAGCTTAAGGAAATGAAACAAGTTAGAGGGAACCTCTTGGAAGTTCGTCTGAATGGTCAGTAATACAACATTATTCAGATGTCATGTTGCATTCGGTTGCTTCTATTGTATGTACTAAACAAAAATTTTGGTTTCAGCAATTCTAATCTCTCCTCAGTTATGGACACATTTGTCTGTGAGCTCTAAAATGCCTTATTTTGTATCTCTCTATAAAGAGAACTTCTGTGCTTTTAATGACTTATCAAAATGCTAAAAATCAGTTCAGTTGTGACCCAGTTCTTTTAAGTGACTTCTTCTTACATGTAGAAAATTACTGTTTAGTCTTAATTTATAAAAAGACATAGCTTTGTAAGGCTGGAAATTGAGAGAAACATCTGGATAAGGTTCCAGTGGCAGTAGATGTGGTCTCTTGGAGTGAAGAACTGCCAGTTCTTCATGAAAAAATGTATTCTTTCAGGGCTTCTGCAGACTAATGATAAAGTGGCCCTGAAGGAAATCACCAGACAGTTGAACCTGGAAAATGTAGTTGGGGATAAAGTTTTTGTAAGTATCAACTTTATTATACTCTTTGCTTATATATCTCAAAAATCTTTGCCTAGAAAACTGGCTTTATAGTCTGCAGCTGTTGAGACTGAATGGGCCTTGACTCATTTACGTCAGTACTGAAGTCAGTAGTAAAGAGAATAGTGGAAGTGCTTCAGATTGTATTTAATGAGTATTTTTGAGAGGCCATCTTCTGATGTAACAGAAGGTCCTTTTAAGCTCCTTGATAGGGCCTGTGAGGTTGACGGAGTTTATGTATTTGAGAGTCGTGTATAATACCAATCCAGGTGGCTAAAGCAGAATTAGGAGGGGAGTGAAAGGTGAAATTGCAATAGATTAGGTTTATTTTCATCACTTGTGTTTGGAAAGCTACAGAGAGATGTTACTGCTTCAGTTAATAAAAAACAGAGAACTAGGTTGGAAGCAGTGCAGAATACAAGATTGTAGTTACTAGGCTTTATTATCTTTTGGAAATACTTGTTTCTTGGGCTGTGCTTTGGTTTCTTACTTATCCCAAATGATTTTAGATACAGAGAATGGAGAACCCTTTCTAATCATAAGCTAAAATTTTCCCAAATACAGCAGCAGTAGTAAAAGGAGACGGCAAGTATTTAATTTCAGCATAGTCATATGAATGGGTTGTCCTTTCAACAGAGAACTAGAACAACCTTTCAAAGTCCACAGTTCCACCTCCAAAAATGCTGGATGCAAAACTGGACTTAAATATGCTTAATTCTCCTGTAATTTTCTCCATTGCGTTACTGTGGAGTACTCCTTTAAACTCTTAACTTTTGGTTGCACATGGGCAAAGAAACATACTGATTTGTAGGAATGTCTGTCCCCTCGTCAACTTCCTATCTTAGCTTATGCAATTTACAATTGGACAGTTAATTGGCTTTTCTGCCTTCTTTGATTGGGCTTGTGGTCTTCAGATGTAGTTACTTCCCATCTTGCACCCTGTGTACTTCAGAGGGTGTAAATGTGTGTAACTGAAGCAGGGTGGTCATAGCAGTCCATTGTCGTCTGTCATGAATGTTTGATGCTTTGACCTGTCTAACAAGGTTGCAGATTAAAAAGCTGCATACTGATGTTTCTCAGTGGAACACTCAGTTTTTGTGTGCGTGTAGAGGGAAAATGCATGTGCATTAGCTATTTAAGTACCATTATTTTTCCTTACAAATTTAGCTTATTGTAGACATTCTTCTGATTGCTAATTTTGGCCTGTCTGAGGCAATTAGTTTGGGGTTTTCAGACTGGAAAGAGGTGGATCAGTGTAGGGTTAACTCCCCGTTTTCTTGTCCTGTAGAGGTGGTGATTATACAACATGAAGTAACATTTTAAGTTTTTGAGAGCAGGGGTTTAGAAGGAGATGGCCTTTGTTATATGCCTGAACTGGGCATTGCTAGACAGTTCTGAGAATGACATTGAAAATCTCTTGTGAAACATTTTTCTTCTCTGTATAGGGCAGTTTTGCTGAAAATCTTGCGTTCCTTCTTGAAGCTTTAAGGAAGGGTAGGTACTAGTAGCCCCTGTTCTGAAATAGTGTGTATGCATGTTTGTCATTTAAATGAAAAGTTAGCATATATGTGTGTGTTCATCTACGTGTATAAGTGTTATGAAGAAACCTAGCCCAAGAACGTGTTATGGTTACAAAATAATGTAAAACATACAGAACCCCAAGCAAACACATATTTAACATAACTGAGGCTGTAAAGGCTTGCATGTGATGATCACAGATTCTTTTATCCAGATTGAAGCTATTGAAAATAGTGCTTTAAAAAAAAAAAAGAACATAGAAGTCTGCCTTCCCTTGCAACCAGAAATAATGCTTGGCAGAATAATACAAAACCTTATCAATTTTTCCATGTGTTTTTGTTTCTACTGCTGTAGCAGTACTTAAATGAAAGGAGGGCTTAATGACAAGCTAAAAGAAAATAATGTAAGTTGTTAAACTGGGAGTTTGTGAGAGCTGCAGAGATGGAAGCCCAACGATGAAGTTACCAGACTAACTTTTCAAATTGCTGTCTCAGGAGATCGAGCTAGCAGTTGTCCAGTCTTGTTTATACTGGATGAATTTGACTTGTTTGTTCATCACAAGAATCAGACGCTGCTCTATAACCTCTTTGATATATCACAGTCAGCCCAGACTCCAGTAACAGTTATTGGACTTACATGTAGGCAGGTAAGAAACAGCACTTTATCATTCATTGTTTTCAGCTGTTTTAAAGAGACTGTTGCCTTAGTTGGGATGTTTTCTGCTCTCCTGGAGCCTTGCTTAGTTTACTAAGAGACTGTTATTATGCATTTTTCTGACTTTAGAATTGGGGAGTAAGGGTGATTAAAAAAAAAAATACAATAATTAGTGCTGAGAGCAAACTTGGATAACCAAAATACTGCAAAGCCTTCCTTTGCACTGCTAGGTGAGCAGGTTTACACGTCTAAGGAGACACAAGGCTGTGGTCCGGTATTACCACAGGAGAGCTGTATTTTTATCCATGTGGCTTGTTCATATTAGCAGGGACTGTTGTTCCCTCTTTGGAGAGGCTCCTGGGCATTGCAGTTTCTTGGTCAGCAGTTGGTAAGAAGAGAATGATATTAATCTACCGTGTTTAAAACATTGTTCTGGGGACAAGGAATTTTTTTAAGCAAACACTTCACTAGGGCACTATTGCTATAAAATGACCATGTTCAAAATGGGTTTAGGATCCATCTTAAACTTGCTATGATATTTACAGTAACATTGCAGGGAGCTGTGGACAGATTTTGCATATACTGTGAAATGACATTTTTGACACTATGAAAGTTGATGTTTTATAAAAAAAATATACTGTTTTTCTCAGTAAACTGGATTAGTGATAAAGATAGCTAGGTTATGACAAGAAGAATGATTAGAATCTTCCATTGCAGCCTAAATCTTGGGTTGGTTGGGCTTCGGTGATGTTTAGCTGGGCACATTGCTGAAAGTTAATAGAGTAGTTAATAATTGATTTAGTAAATTCCGATTTTTCTTTTGTGATAGGGCTTTGAGCAACTTCGTCTATTAGGTGCCCTTGCCTGTGGCAGAGGGCTTGGAACTATATGAGCTTTAAGGTCCCTTCCAACCCAAATGCTTCTGTGATTCTGTGATTACTGTCCTGAGCCTGGTATCCTCATCACACATTGTTTAGATCCCTGTATTGCTCTGCTTTGGAATGTAGTCAGGGTGGTGTCTTCAGAGGCCATACCATGGTGGTAGCTGTTGCTTCTCGTCTCTGTTGCTTGTGATTTCTAAATCCAAAGGTGTCTTTGTATTTTGCATTGTTGGTTGTCTATTTACACTTACTGCTCTGTATTGGTGAGGAGCTTCAGTATTCTTAAAGATTTTTTTTTTTTTTTTAGTGGAAATAAAACCACTGAAACCAATGCACATTAAACCCTTAAAAAACAAAAGGGACCACCCAAAATTCCTAGTAACTAGGAGTGCAATCCTTCTGTGCCAATATCAGGTAGGGTAATAGTACTGGGTTTCTCAGAATGAACCCCACAGCTTGTTTTTGGTGCCATCTATTACCATATGTTCTGAGAAAAGTAAGCTGTTCTCCCTTACACTGACAACCTGATGGCAGACCTGCTTAGTTCTGTGTGGCAATCCTGGAAGATAAATACTAGCTCTTAAGTGTTTTGGGGTACTTTTAAGCTGGATTCTTTTGGTCTGATAAAAGGCATGTGAACTGACAGCTGCCAACCTCCCTATCTACTAACTAGACAACTGATCTAGAGCCACAGTGGCTAAAATATCTTCAATGCAGACTTAAGTAACTGAAATATTTACATAATCAATGGAGAAATTTTGCTGGGTATCCTAGCAACTAATTAGCCCGTGTGATGTAGTGCAACACGTGATTCGGGTGAATGGCCAATCATTGGGCATTTTGGGGCACATGGATTATAATAATTAGCAAAGGTCTTGCTGGAACATTTCAAGCCTGAGAATTTAATAATTCCTTTTTTTTTTCAACAGGATTTACTTTGGTGTTTTGTAGTTTTCATTCTAGCAAAGAATGCATTAAATGCAGCTACTCTTTTTAATTATTATTTGTACTTTTTTTTTTTACCAAGGATATTCTGGAGCTCTTGGAGAAGAGAGTAAAGTCAAGGTTCTCTCACCGACAGATATATTTGATGAATTCTTTTGATTTTAAACAATACATTAAGATATTCAAGGAACAGCTTGCTCTTCCTGCTGAATTTCCTGATGAGTCTTTTGCACAGAAATGGAATACTAATGTTCAGGTATTTAAAGCTCTTTATACTTGGTTTTAGTAAAACTTCTAAAGTAAAGCCAGTTAATAAGTGCAAAGCCTTTACCTCAGATTAGTATTGCCTTTCACTATTTGAGTTTGATACAGAGTGGTAAATTGTGATAGGGAATCTTTGCTTATTCAAGTCCAGAGGTAAAATTAGAAGACCAGAAAGTTAAGGTTAGACACAAAGAACTGCGTTGTCGCATGTAATCTGAGCTCTTCCTGAAAGTCAGCTGACTGTATTTTTTTCAGGTGAATAGGAAGTATTTGCTGAGACAATTAAAGTAGTGCTTTTTTTTTACCTTTTTTTTTTTTTAATTATTAATTAGCATCTCTCAGAGGATAAAACTGTGCAGGACGTGCTGCAGAACCTTTTTCGCTACAGTAAAGACCTGCGCTCACTTCACTTGCTCTTGGTATGTATTTTGATGTGTGTATAGTATTGTCCTGCTTTTCAGTAACTCGCAAACAGCACTTGTGTCTTTCAAGCCAGTCTTCTGGCATTGAAAATAATTTTTTCCAGGCCTTTCCATGTATAAAACAAAATTGTGGGTGAAATACTTTCAAATTATTTTTTCCTTTCTGAGATTCTTTTTGGTTGCTGGTGAATCCTGAGAACTGCTTGTACTGAAACCTGCTTTTGCTATGTTGAAGTCTGTTGTTGCACCTAAATATTCCTCCTTTCCCTAAATCTGTCCCTGTACTGAACCTGCTGCTGTTCATCAATGTGTTCTCTTCAAAGATCAATAAATTTTGGTGCTTTTTTTTTTTTATTACTGTGGCTTAACTGTGTTTTTGCATCACCTTCTGCTCTCCGCTTTGTCATCCTGCTGGCGCTGTTAGGGTGTGTCAGTGTTCCTTGCCTGTTCCTTGAGCTGCTCTAGCATAATTCTGTGTGGGTATCTGCACTTCCAACATAAAAGCACACAGTGCTTTTATGGAACTGCTTTTAGTTGAATAACTCTCACTTAAAGCCAAAATACTTGTTGTTGTCATCCCTTTTTTTCACTCCTCCTTCTTCCTAAGCCATCGCCCCTGCTGCGATACCAGGTTCCTTGCCTTTATGGACTGGTTGCTCCTGGGTACCTCTTCAGTAAGAGTGTTCTCATATGCCTAAAGTCTTGTTCTTCACACATCGGAAATGCTTTTGTTTTCTTTTATCACTTCCAATTTCTTCTTGTGCAGAGTATCAGATAAAATCACTTTGTGAACTGTTTGATTAGGTGCCACTTTGTTTTCCAGAGCTGGTTTGATACGTGGAGCAATTTAGGTAGCCTAGATGCTGTCCTGAATTTGTCCGTTACCGTGACGCTACTCTGGGAAATGTGATCTTAATCTTTTAAATCTTGAGATGCTGGAAGCTTGAGGCTACTAATCCCTAGAAAATACTGAGACAGAAGTTGATGCTTGTCTTCCAAGTGATCACATTATCTGGCATCAAGGGCCTGAGGAAGCTTTCAAAACTGCACTTGGTAGCTCCAACCTTTCCCAGTTATGTTAGGGGTAGAAGGAAAGCCACCTCCACTGTGTGGGGAAAAATTAGACTGCTCCTCCCCTATTAGAGAGAATAATTCTGTGTTCAGTAAGTAGGAGGCAATTCTGATGGTCAACTTCGTGATGTCGGGACAAATGAGCTGAAGCTTAACACATGGTCAGGCTCTCTCAGATGGTTATTTCTCTCAAAACTTGCCTTCCCTCACTTACGTTTTTTAGTACAATTAATATAAATGCACTAACATTGATTACCAAAGAGATTTTTTTTCTTTTTTAACCATCTTAAAATCTGTGTTTTTGTCAGGTGTGAAAACCCCACTGAATGTACCTGTGTATCCTATGTGGTGCAAGGATTCAGATTTTAACCTTCTGCTCGGCGGTGGGCTCTTCTTGGAGTCTTCAGTGCTGACAGCTTTACCCAGTGCTGGGCTTACAGTCACTCCAAAAACTAGATCATAGACTTTCTGCTTTAGTTTTGAAACAGAGAGCATGATCCAAGCCCTCTTTTTGATAGTCTTCTCTTTACTGGAGTTTGTTACAAGATTGCAGATTATTCTGAAGTTAAGGGCACCCAGTTCTGTCTCTTTGGCTTGAGTGAATGCCAGAAAAAAGCCAATGGCTGCCTGTCTGAACAGCCTCTTCTTGAGCCCTGTGTGTAAGGAGAGAAAGAGGATGGAGAAGGACTGGTGGTAGATAGCATTGGATGTTCATGGTGAAAGACCTCAGTGAAAATAAGCTTTTCATCACACAGACCTGAAAAAGTAGGAAATAGTCACTAAAAACATCTGTTTTTCATTTTGTCCACAAAGTATTTACAAGGCAGATAGTTAAGGTCCTGAAGAGCAAGTGAAGGTCACTGCAGTGTGCCTGCTGCTGCAGAAAGCCTTGGGGCTAATCCAGAGCTTTGGAGGGTGGTGGTAGAAGAGGTCAGTTACCTATCTATTAACTTACACTTGTTCAAAACTCACTTCCTGTGGCAGGTAACTGAATGTTGTTAAGGATTCATATTGCAAGAAGGTGAGACTTTAGCAAATGCTCTGAAGGGGTCACTCCCATTCTGTAAACTGAGTGGTGCCTTCAGGCACTTCCTTGGCTCCCTGTCACAAAGGTGTGTTTAAACCAGTTGTGAGTCAGCAATCACTAAAGTATGCTAATGCACTGAAATTAATATAAACAAGGTAATGAGTGTTTATGTCCTCCAGTGAGAAGGCTTTAAAGTTCTAAGCCTGGAAAACCTTCCTGGCAAAATGTAGTTGTAGCTACCAGCTATTTACAAGGTTTTCAGTATGAGCTTACTGTGTATGGGGGTTTATTCATTAATGTTTCCAGTAGGTGACTCCAGGGGAAATGTATTCTTTTGCATCTCACCCCCAAGCAGAAAGTATGTCCGGTAATTAGTAATTAAGTGAAGTGAAAAATGTCTGCTGCTTTATTTTTAGATGCTCGCTGTAAGTAATGTTACTGTGCATCACCCACTTGTCACTGCATCAGATCTCCATGAAGCAAGCAAGCAGTATCGAACGGACTCAAGAGCAAATATTGTACATGGTAAAGCTCAGCTTCCCCTCTCTCCCCCCCCCCCCCCCCCCCCAAATGTTTCTTGGGAGTATGAAACTCAAGTCCCTCCCTGAACTTCTGATGTAAGAGATACTGTCTAGGGCAGTGTGCCTGTTGGTATGAGCTGCACAGGGAATACTGCTCCCACAGAATGCTCCTGGGCATTCGTATGCGTGTGTGGGTGTAACGGTGCTGAATAAACTAGAGATGGAGTTACAGATTAGTAAAGAGCTTGGCCAGTGCACCACTATGATGTGGGCTTACAGCTGGCAGTGCCAGATGGCTAGTTTGCTGCTTCAGTGCTAGCCAGAAAAAGCACTGGTAGCCTGGGCAAAGGAACTAGCCTTGACTGTGTGTCAGTCCTGCTGACATGGTGGAGGAAGGGAAGATGCTGACCCCTTCCTGCATCACCAGCAGGTTCAGGAAGGTGATTCTGCTCTGCTCTCACGAGGCTCTACCTGGAGTGCTGCATTCAGCTCTGGGGTCTTCTGAGACCAGGGCTTGTTCAGCCTGCAGAAAAGAAGGCTCCAGGGAGACCTTAGAGCAGCTCCTAGTGCCTAAAGGAGCTGACATGAAAGCTGTAGAGAGGCTTTTTACAATGGCAGTAATGACAGGACACGGGGGAATGGCTTTAAACTGACAGAGGGAAGATTTAGATTAGATATCGGGAAGAAGCTCTTCCCTGTGAGGGTGGTGAGGCCCTGGCACAGGTTGCCCAGAGAAGCTGTGGTTGCCCCATTCCTGGCAGTGTTCAAGGGCAGGTTGGCCGGGGCTTGGAGCAATCTGGGCTAGTGGAAGGTGTCCCGCCTGTGGCGGCAGGCTTGGAACTAGGTGAGTTTTAAGGTCCCTTCCAACCCAAACCAGTCTGTGATTCTTGCGGTGCTGGTAGCTGGGGGTACAGGAGGTACTTTAGCTGTTGCAGTAAACCCTCTTGTGGCTTGCAACAGTCTGTGCTTGGGTAGATACAGAACTGAAGCTTGAACTTGAATTCTGTACTCTGGGAGCTCAGCTGTATGCGCTTACCTGCCATTAGTTGAGCTGCTGTACAGGCCCTTCTGGCATGTTTCTGTGAGCTGCTGCCACCTTCGCACCACCTGGGGGTTCTCCCTTTCTAAACCATGTCAGAGGGGATGTACCGAGCACTACACTAGAAAACTAAGCTTTTCTCTGAAAAGCATTCTGGAACCTGCACAAACGTGAGAGAGATACAGATCTCCTGATGATGTGATACTAAGTCTAAGTAAAGAGGGAATTGCTTCCCTGATCAGGAAAGGTTAACTCAGCCCATGGCTTCCTCATGGCTCCCAGGTTTTACAGGGTTTGATTTGTCTTGGTCCTGTGCTTCCCAGAGTCTCCTCAGGACCATGGAGCTGATTTGCTGTGTCACTTCTTCAGCTTCAGGTAACAAATAACCTTTTCAGAGTCTCACTTCATGACATGCTGTCCAGTACCAGTGAGATCGTCTTGGTGTTCCTGAACATCTGTGTCACTGAACAGTTGCAATATTGGCTTTTCTTTGTATTTATATTTACATTACTTGCTTTTTGACAGAAACAGCCCATTTCTTTGAATACCTGGGGAAAAAAGTGTTCATTTACCTAGCCTCTCAGATTTTGGATTTTTAATTTTTTTTTACATTAAGAACATGTATTACACAAATAGGTGAGGCCTACAGCATATAAAAATAGTATGAGAACTGCTTGCATTTCTGAGATGAAGTATTTAGAGCTCTTGTCTTTCCCTCTAGGTTTGTCTGTCCTGGAAATCTGCCTAATTATAGCTATGAAACACTTGAATGATGTTTATGAAGGAGAACCCTTTAACTTCCAGATGGTTTACAATGGTGAGAGAAATGCCTGAACCTTACCAACCCTACATCAGTTACTTCCCCTAAGTAACTCACTTTTTTTTTCCTGTTACTGCTACAGAATTCCAGAAGTTCATACAGAGGAAGGCACACTGTATGTACAACTTTGAAAAGCCTGTTGTCATGAAGGTAAGCCTGAAATGTCTTTTTTATTTTTTTGAATTGTAAAGTATTGAGATGCCTTTTATTTCTTAGGGCAGAGAGGCTGAGTAGTCAAATGGAGCTCTTGATGCAAGACAGGGCCCTTCAAGGGGGTAGAGCTTAAACCAAGCACCTCAGGTGGGAACTCAAGGTGGTGCCCAGCTGGGAAATAGCCACTTGGAAGAGTTTAGTACCAGTGTGAAGCCTTTCTTAAGGAAGCTTAACTTACTTGGGATAAGGGTTCAGTGAGACTATCAGAGATGGCTTCCTAAGGAGAGCTTTGTGTATGTGCATAGGTGTCTTCAGTGAGCAAGTTCACTTCTGCTCTCCAAAACTTCAGTTAACTTTACCCCATCAAAAATGGGCTTTTCTTAATCCAGTAGGTCTGACTGGTGTATGGAATCAGTCTGCAGTCTGATATGGCTGGCTTGCTCAGACAACTACAGTCTGAGGTGCAAGTTGGGAACTGTGTTTTAGTCACAAACCATCAGGTGCTGCCTTTTCTGTTGATGAATTAATCCAGTTGTGTGGTCAAAGCTGCCTTCCCCTCTTCCAACTGAGCACACTTGGTTTCCAATAGTGTCATTCAGCTGGAAATTATGTAATGCTGTGTGCGTGCTTGGCACAGACCTTCCCATTGGTTTCCCTAAATAACAGCATCATTCCCAGTTACCTGTACACTGGATTTCAAATATGGTTTCTCTAAGAGGGAAAGTGAATTCTACATCAGCCAGCATAGCTGACATGCTTTGCTATATGTGCAAAGGATATGAAGCAGACCGGAGCTGTTGTCAAACAGCTGATTGGCTAGCACATCACAGGCTTCCAGCAGGAGTGTCTCTGGTCATCCAAAATGAGCAATGTCATCTTCCCTCTGTTATTTTTTGTTTTTAGGCATTTGAACACTTATTACAGCTGGAATTAGTAAGGCCAATAGAAAGACCAAATATACGTGCTCAGCGCGAGTACCTCCTGATGAAGCTGCTGTTGGACAGTACTCAGATCATGGATGCCCTGCAGGCGTACCCCAACTGCCCTGTGGATGTGAAGCAGTGGGCAGCCTCATCACTCAGCTGGCTCTGAACTTTCTGGAGCTTGCAGCATCACTTTCTGCATCCAAGCTTTTTGAGTTGAGTATGAGCTGCAGCAGAGGGCACATCTTTCCACAGGAGGTAACTTTTTGGAAGAAGCTTTACTGATTGATGGGGGAGAACTGCTCCAATGTTATGTTCTGATGGCCGTAACAGTGATGAAGGGGAATGCTCTGGCTGTTTACCTCAGCTCGGTGCCAGCTTTTCCTCTGGTGCAGAGTTTCCACTTCATATAAATCTTGACTTCCTTGGTCTGGGATTGACTGTGTCAGGTGCTGCCTTGGGGCGCACCACCCCGAATGCCTGTGGGTCTGGCTTAAACCCCAAGGCACAGTTATCTCTCAAATGCTGTTTGAAGCTCATACTTGGTGTACTTTTTCTTCTCAAATTTGACTTGATGCAGAAAACTTATTAATTATCCTTTAATGACAACAAATGGTGTTCTGGGGTGAAGTACAACCTGCCTTATCCAGGTTACTCAGCTGTTTCTGCAGGGTACAGCCTGCAGGGCCTGTGTCCCCCTGTGGTGGGGCAGCTCTGAAACACCAGCAGATCCCCCCAGAGAGCTCCTGCAGGCTCTGTGGCTCATTGCTGGGGAGAGAAATCTGTCTGGCAGCAGGGGGAGGGAAGGCTTTGCCTGGAAGGTACGTGCTACTGCATATGTACTTGAGTGATACCTGTCAGAAGTACACTTCCTCCCCGGTAAGAGCTACCATTGGTTTGGTACCACAACATGTCATGAAAAGCCTTGCTGCAAGGATAGCACAAACTGTAAATAAAAAAGTTGCCACAAGATGTTGTTCAGAAGTACTTACCCAGGCAGGAAAGTGGGTGTTGAGCCAACATGTACCTCCTCACAGCGTGGTTTGGCTCATGCATTTCAAGGTGCACCTCTGAAATGGGGATGAAGGGGGAATATGGCTGCTTGTAGAGTAGAGAGCAGAGGTGGGAAAAGGTGATGCCAGTGTTAAAGAGTTATTTTTATGGAAACACTTGGCTGTGGGGCTGGAGACAAACCAACAGGTGCCTTACGTACAACTGCAGAGGGGGCAGAGCTGCTGACATTGGTTGGCCCTGCCTCTGCTCACACCCGGGGTCCTGCTGCTGTGTTTGTTTAGGGATGGGACACTGCTGAGGGTTTTCCCCACCCTGTGGTGCGAAACAGACACCTGCAGGTGTGGTATGGGAATATCACATCCCCTGGCAGAGCAACTCACTCAACAGCCTGAGTCCCTTGTACCCACAGGTACATTGATTGGTGAAATTGAACATGCTCAGAAGGGATAATGGGGACTGGTTTTAATTCAGGATAAAGGCTTGGGAGGGAGCCCCACCCTTTTAGGGGCAGGAGGCTACAGGGGCAGTTCTGCAGCAGGTGGCTGCCCTGCTGTCCAGGGAGAAGGGAAGGGTGGTGGCAAGGCCTTGGGACAGGAATGGTAGAAGGGACCGTGGAATTACAGGAGCATCACTGGAGCCTTCCCATGGCTGCCTCCTGCAGGAGGGAGCCCACCCTGGAGCTCATCTCAGAGACTGTGTCCTGCCCTGTGTGCTGCACTGCTGGTTAAAACTCCTGAGCTGGAAAGTGCCCCTCCTGAGAGGGCAGGGTGGGTTCTCCCATCTCCAAGGCCAGGCATGATGTGGATTGTGCCTTCACTTCCCTGCCAACATTTTAACTGCAGGATTTTTCCATTCTCTTTGGGTGTTACTTTTGGCCAAGTACGCTCTGTCCTCCCTGTGTCACAATATGAGAAAAGGCATATGCAAGTCATAGTAGTCACATTTTTTATTTTAACTTTTTGGGGGAGTGGGGGAGAAAGAGTATACATTTCTATTTGTACAATATTTAACAATCACTTTATTGAGGGGCAAGGGGGGGTTGGTTTGTTTTTAGTACTTGCAGAAAAACAGCAAGTACCTTTTGACAGTAGTACAACAACCTGTGCCCAAAACACTGACAAATACAAAGAGTAAAGTTAAAATAATTGCTTACCAAAATCTCGAGAGGTAACGAATAGTATATGGACTGAAACGGCATTAAAAAAATAAAAACAAACAAAAACCCCAAAAAGAAGTACTGCTGGTTGAGTATCTGAGGTAAATGATGTTCCATCAAGGATGCTACGTCAATCATTTTGCCCAGGAACATATATTGCAGCTTTCTGCACTTTGTACCAAATGTTCCTAATGAAAGGAAATCCATTAAGAAAAGATTAAAGAGAAGCTGGAGAAAGAGCAAACTAGCAACCCTGGCTGTCCTGTTAAACGCCAGTCAGACCAGGAGAAGGCTGGTGACTGGCCACAATTTAGTGTTAGCGCACCCAACATTGGCGTTTAAAAACCACACTAACCTTCTAAAATCTCAACTGGCAGGAGCACAGTGGTGGATTCCAGTCCTCAAGGTGTAGTTTGGAATATCGTCACCAACAACAGCTCTACTTCAACAGCAACTGGGGCATGGGCTCTGCTCTGAAACGCTATAGTACAAATTCATGCAGGGTGCCGTACAGAAGCATCTTGCCCTGTAATGTTACGCGTGGAGTTGTGTACGGTTGAAGCTTCTGGGTAGGCCCGGATGGCAGCAGGTCTGGGTCGGGGTTTCAGGAGATGTGGCTTAATGCTATGCACAAGGCACAAGCTGCTCCTCACCAGCCACAGGACCTGGTGACCCTCAGGAGCTCATGGCCACAGGACCTCAAGGGACAATGGCCACCACCTGCTGGTATATCACAGCAGACACTCCACTGGCACCAGCCTTACCAAACCCTGCCCTCTACCCCTGCACAGTGCCATGAGCTCCTGTGCAAGCAGCTGCACACAGCAGCTCTGAGGACATGGATTATTTTTAGCAATCATGTTAAAAGCACTTACTTACACTATGAACACCCTTTTCATATTGACACTTACTTAAAACCCAGGAACCTGGGAGCAGCACAGCATTTAACTAGGGAGAACCAAAGGCAGCTTTAAAATGCAAAGACAAGTTGTCTCAGTTCTCCTGCTGCCTTGTTTGCCACGTGAGGGAGCACAGACCAGTCCCCACCATGTCTGCTGCAGGCACCTGCAGCTGCTGAAGTTTGAAGGGTGACATCACAATGATGTGTATTCTATACCCAACCAATTTTTCCATTGCATCTTGAGTAACACATTATTAAACAATCTGCATTGACTCCAGTTTTGCTACTGAAGGGTTACAACTCATTAGGAGCACCAGCAATGTATGAATGGGTTCTTACTTGTTCAGAACTCAGCAGCTACGTTCACCTCCTACTGTGTGCATAAAGTAACACCCCTGAATTAAAAATGGAAGCTAAAGGAAAGCATCAATCTAAGAACTGGCCACAAACTAAGTTTCTTTCTTTTTATAGCCAAGCCGAGCACCACCAAGTTGCACCAGAGCATGTTTCCCCTGCTGCAGGACAGCACAGGCCAGGCAGGCAGCACTGCACACACAGGCAGGTGTCACTGCTGCACCCTTCTCCCCTCCCTGCCACCAGCCAACAGTACCTTAGGTCCTTTTCACCCATAAGGTTTCTTACTGTTCCTAGAAGGTCAGTTTGTGTACTTGTAAAACAAAGAACCTGTGGCTGCATGGATCAGTTTTCACACAGCATTCCCAGTGAGCTCCTCACTGCAGCATTAGCAGCTTCTTTCAAAAGACGCTGAACACACGATGTAAAAACAAAGAAAACACTGAGGGAGCACACAGCACGCTATCAGCTCTTGTAGGTTCTGCGCTCTAGAGGTTTATAAAGCTTCTTTTACTTGGAAGTTTGTGTAAGGGATCAAATAGGTGTAAGTCAAACAGAACTTCTGAGAAGCGCTTTGGCACCTACCAACCTACCAGTCGCTTTGCAATTTAAATAAGGCCCAACTTCCTAAACTCAAAAAGAAAGTTAGAGTTGTAAAAGCAATTTCACTGGGTTTTCCTCAGTTTTTGAGAGTCTATGCTATGGACACTGGTATTCGTTACCTCTAAACAGTCACTGTATATTTTAAGTTATAGCTAAATTTTCCCTGAAATTTGTAAGCATTCATAATCTGAAACCTGTGGCTAGCATTTTTCACGTGACTCCAGGACAAACCTGCACCTGCAAATGACATCAAGTCTCACTGATAAGATGGCACCAAGTGTTAAGTAGATCTCAAAGCAGAGGGGTAAAGAATTTGGGGTAACTGAGCTTCCTGAGGTGATCCTGAAACAGCGATACAGAACCCACTGCATACTGTTTAGTGAAACAGAAAACATGCTATGCAGACCTTGTCACAAACATAAATAGGAAAAAGACTTTAAAAAAAAAAGAACAAGAATTCAGAGCTTTCCAGTGTCACAGCTCACAGAAAATTAAAAAAGTCATGCTTAAGTTTTCAAATATTCCTCAGACACAGCAAACCTAAATAGTATTCAGTTAAATAAATGCATGAGATACTCTGGGAAGCGGAGGTAAGAGAAAAGCTTTAAACTAAAAGAGGAAGGAAAATTTTGTTTCAATAAACAGCACTTTTTTTTTTTTTTATACACAACAAGCTAGTACAAGGAAAGGCTAAAACACTGCTTTAGGAATGGCCATTTACTATCGGCACAAAGCATAGCTTACCCTTTTTAAATAACACAGTGAATTTGCAATACATCATTTACAAAACACGGATCGATTTATTCAAATTTTGTTAGTGTTGTCAATCTCATAATTTAGCAGAGGTGGAACTGAGGTATACCTTGTTGAGGGAGGTTAAGTAATACTTGGAAGCCTCTTTGCTATAACCCACTTGATTACTTTTGTTTATGTACACAGAACAGCAGCACACTAAACATTCACAAGCTGTGTCATAGTCGCATTACAATAGTCATTTTTATAAACAACGGCAAATGCAATAAAAACAAGTTACCCTTTTTTTTTTAAATCTGAAATGAAATGTTTGATTTAAAAAAAATAACAGTAGTTCATTTAAGGAATTAGTCTCTTCTGACAGGTATTAAGAAATTGGGCGTCAGTTTTTAAAATGCTTGATTAGCCAGAACAGGTCTGTATTCTTCATGTAAGTTCCTTAACTGCATGTCACCGTTTCTCAGTCACGTGTCCTTCAGGTGTACACAGGGAATGCAGAAAGTCTCAGGGATCCGTGTTTGGGAGGAGGAAGGGAAAAATAAAGGAAAAACACCTCTTAATGCTGTTCCAGAGAGACTTACCATTCTTCTCACGCAGCAAACAGTAATGACGTGAGCAGTCCCCTTAGCTTTAGCAGCTCCAGTGAAGAGTCCGGTGGTCAGTTCCGTGACCAGTGCAACTATCTATCATAGACTGGATTCTTTGGGAGGAAAGTCAACATTTGTCACCATTGTGACCACAGTCACAATATCCTCTGTTGTTATAATGTTAGTTAATTTTTGCATCTGAATAATACGTTCTTCTACGCAGCCTGCTGACAACCTGGCTTCCGCATCATGATCCCAGCATTCCTCTATGGTTTCACAAAGCATTGCCATTCCCTGTGGGCAAACAAAGCGAAGTAAAAAAAGAATGGTATACACAGCTAGCAGCAAGTTTTAAGAAGTGATCAGAATCTAGCAATTTAATAGAAAATTGCATTTCCACAGAACAGTTTCGGTTGGAAGTGACCTTAAATCTCATCTAGTTCCAAACCCTGTCCCATGGGCAGGGACACCTTCCACTGGGCCAGGTTGCTCAGAGCCCCGTTCAGCCTGGCTTTGAACACTGCCAGGGATGGGGCAGCCACAGCTTTGCTGGGCAACCTGTGCCAGGGCCTCACCACCCTCACAGGGAAGAACTTCCTCATACTGAGTTTAAACCACTCCTCTCCAGCTTTCTTGTCGCCCCCTTCAGGCACTGGAAGCTGCTCTAAGGTCTCACTGGAGCCTTCTCTTCTCCAGGCTGAACCAGCCCAGCTCTCTCAGCCTGCCTCCATAGGAGAGGTGCTCCAGCCCTCAGAACATCTTCGTGGCTTCCTCTGGACTTGCTCCAACAGGTCCGCATTCCTCCTGCTCCCCTTGAAGAGTGCTAGGAATCAGCAGTGGTGTTACTGCAAGTCTCCAGCCATGAAGCAGACCTGGGAATCATAGAATTCCTCCCTAACTAATCCCAGATATTTCTCATACAACACTGCTTATCCTATATAGCAGTGTTCAGTTTATAGCATTCCTGTAGTAATCAAGGCTATTAGCTCTTAAATATACTAACTTGTGCATTCAAAAGTAAACCTCAAAAATCTTTCATCAAAATAGTGAAAGATAAGTAAAATTACAAAAAAAAAAAAAAAATCACTCTTTAATCACTCAGAATATTTTAAGATTAAGAACATCCCAGTTTACAGTCCATTTAATTCTTTTACTGGAATTACTAAACTTACATTCTTCCTTAAAGGCAGCAGTATGAACAGAACACCGGATTAACAAAATCTGAAATTCAAATCCTGACAGAACACTGCAGAATGTGGTTGTGTAACGACTTACAGCATGTTTTTGCCAGCATTCTCTTAAAACAGGTCTCTTCTTTTTATGAACTACAACTTCCTGCATGTCTTCGAGGGAGGGATGCTGGCCAATTTCTTCCTCAAATGGCAACATGTACTCATCTACTGGGCCTAAAGACAAAAAAAAAAGAATTTAACCCACAAATTTTGCTTGAAAAAAAGAACAACAACAAAAAACCAAAAACCTGATATCCGAGCAGTGCAGTCCGCAGTGAGACTCTTCGGGAGCAGTTTGCTTCCCACTGCCATTCAAGGCTCGTCCTGTGGCAGATTAGCAGCAAGCAGTGACTAGGATTCTAAGTAAGCACATTTTCAGGAGCCACCAGCCTCTGCTCCCCGGCGTGTGGCAGCCGAGTGCAGCTCCCGGCCCGGCTCCCCTGCAGCTGAAACCTTGGGAGCACACGGGCGGAGGGGGGCGCTCGGATCCGCGGCTTCTCCCCCACCTCCGCCAACAAACCCCAGCCGGGAGAAGAGACATCTTCGTCCCTCATTCAAGCGCGGGCTCCCGCGGTGTCTCATTACCAAGCAGGCGCCCGATCGCCGCTTTTGAGTGTCACCAATACCACAGATGCTACAAAAGACAAGTTTGCAACAGCAACTGCTGCATCCCTCTGCAAAAGAAGCATGCTGCCGCCTCCTTCAATCCACACAGGCCAGGACGTAACTGCTATTGTTGCAAGCTAAGCCTAACGGTCATCATTAACTGGATGAGAGGGACAAGGTTTACAGGCTTTACAGATTTTACGCACTCAGATAAATGTCTGAAAAAAACCTAAAGTGAAGAGAGAAGAAATGAATGTACACTATGGATGAGGCCAGTGAAACAAACCAGGCACCTTCTGAAAAAGACAACAAACCCCAAACACATTTGAAGAGTGAAAACAGCAGCTGCGACTGCAGAGCTACACCAGGCTGTGTTTCAGGAAGGCTGCTCTCCTTAACTGCAGTCTCCTTTACCTTCTGGAGTAATAACTACAATGCCAGAAACCTCTGACACATCTCTAATAGGAGGTATGTACGTATGTTTTACAGTACAGGAAAAAAATCAATACAGAATGTGGGCAGCCTGAGAGATGTGTGCAAGATTGTGTCAATCCTGTTAGTAAACAGGTTAACATTTTAAAAAGGGTAAAATCTCCCCAGTGGCATTTCCTCTCCACGAGGAAATGTCTGAAGCAGAAAAGCACTGCTTGGAGCAGAAAAACACAGTATGGCCATGTACTGATCTGCTGAGGTCTCCAACCCATCTTGGATTTTCACACAGACAGCTGTCAGCTTCACTGGGCTCCATCAAGGGAGCTTATGACAACCATCATAAGCTTGTCTCACTAGCCCAACTGAGTCAGTCACCTTTACTCGGTTGAATTTAGCTGCTTCAGACTGTACTGAAAATGCAACTTTCTCCCAAACAAAAAATGGTTTTGAGCCCTGTCTTTTACCTTGTTCTTGATTAACGCCAACTTATTCTGGGCACCCAAAAAAGATCTCCATTCACAAAATTTAAAGACTATGCATACTTGAAAAGGGTTTTTTTTCTTGGTAGTGCAAAAACTGGATCCAGCAGTCTGCTTTATGAGAAAAACACCTGTGATGGATCCATAGCTAACAAGTATCAGCTGTGGATTTGTCAGACCTTGCTGAATTTTCAATCTTTAAGCTATTGACAATTATCGAGAAGTTCTGACATCATATGAGCTGAACCAATGTTACATCAGTGACAATGAAGACAAAGGGAGGGCAGGGAAGCTCTGAACCTACATGAAACAGGCTCACTCAGGCACCTACGGTTAAACCAGACACAGCAACTTTTCTATGTCCTGCTGCTGACAGCTGACCTCCTGATGCACTGAGGAGCAGTTTCCTAAGATGAAGGGCCAAGGAGGAATCTTGCATATGCTGATGAACAGCTAGAAAATGGTTAACCTCATCAATGCTCTCTGCAATAAAATATATGCCAACCTATGAAAAATGCTTCATGTCTTTCAGCCTTGTAATTCCCTCACTGACAATCTTTGACATTAGGAAGTGTTTATGCCTGTCTTCCACAGGCAGCACTACGAGGTTGTTCTCCAGACGCTAAGGTATACAGCAGGAGACATCAGTTTTTCAGCAGGTGCTGGTGGGATATCTCAGTTACTAAGGTTAATCTCATCTGAGCTTTCGTTTATGAAAAGAAGCAATAATAAACTAACTGGCACTAAAACTGTCAGGCTGAACTTGTAAGAAATCAAACATACTAGGTGGGGCACTCCACAGTAAATCTCCCTCTCCCTTACCATGACCAGCTGGAGAAATGCAACAGGTATCCATGTATCAAGGGACACCAAGTACAGAAGAGACTAAATTATGAAGTGACTACATGATGTCAGTGTTGCCTTCATTTCCCCACAAAACTACCACCCTTATGAAATTTTATTACATACATCTAATCCATCTGCCAGTTTCCTGCTTTAAATACACCTCTCACAAGTTACACAAAATATTTACACAAATTGAATATGTTCCTTACCATCTGAGGCGGTACAGCGTGATGCCAATTCCCAGAGGACTAATCCCATGGCATACATATCTATTCTCAAAAACGCATCCCTTTGGAAGTTTATAGCCCCTTCGAGTACCTCAGGAGCCATATACCTTCGTGTACCAACCTTGAAAGACAATAAAGCACAAAAACTTGTACACCAAGAAATCAAACAAGACCACTACCGCCACACTACCTAGTACTGTTGTAATAATGCTGGTGACCAGCACCATTTTTTGGTCCAAGATTAGAAAACAGCCATGGTTATCCTCACTTAGGACTAAATCTTGGCAGTTCCTTGTATTCTTATATCCAAGTGTAAGTAAAAGGAATTAGAAAAAATCGTACAGAATGGGCCCTATAAAGGATACAAAGCAGGAAAATCTGAACAGATTTAAAAATAAGACATCTGTGTAACAATTCAACGTATTTGCCACTGCCATTCTACAGTTGATCTACTTGAAGATGTGCTTTCTTACTGAAGGCGGGCTGGGCTACACAATCTTTAACGGTCCCTTCTAACCCAAACCATTCTATGGTTCTGTGATTTTTTCATGTCATAAGGACATGAAATGTGCTTATGTTCCTCCTTGTGACAGGAGCAGTAATAAAAGGAAAAGGAAAACTAGCTACTAGAGTGCAACTTATACTGAGAAAGTTACATGAAGTCACTTGCACAAAACTGGCTATTATATTAAAACTTCAGGGATATCCATTCTCTGTGGCTACAGTCAATGATGAAATTATGTCCTCCAAATAAATCAGAACTTGTCTGGTGCCAAAACAGGATTTTCTTCACTATTTAAACCTTCGCAGTAATAGCTATGTTTCTCTTCAGCAGTTTTACTGAGGTTTTATAATCTTACTGTATGGCTTTTTTGTCACTCAACAATGAATTGTGGCCTTCTCCCTAAAATTAAACATACTTTGTTTTCCAGAAACTATAATGCTCTAAGCTCAAGTCTGTTATTTTAAAGGTACATGGTACAAAACCAGCTTCCTTGCATGACCAGTGCTTGATTAGTAGTACTGTTGTCATTTTAGCGAAGTGACTGTTGCTACGTCAGAAAGTTAGAAACTGGCTGCCAGTGTCATTCCTCAGTTTCTGCACAGTGTTTCAGAACAATGAATAAAACATGGCAAATAGACCAAATCCTCTACTAAGAACCAAAACAAGGGGAAAGACAGAGGCCATGTAATAAGATGGGGGGAAGGCTCTGATCTGTAATTATCTAAACTGTTTCATTTGTAGCTTGTGAGAAGAAAACATAAATTACCAGATTCCTTAAAGGTCAACAAAGACAAGGTTGATGATACAGTATCCTGTGCATGAAGAACACCTGAACTACTGATTTCCATTCACATGCAGTTAACGGTTGTAACATTTATGTAAATAAATCAGTGTTTACCTGTCCATGTGTATCCCCTGCAGATTTTCCAGCCTCAAACTTTAAAGCTAGACCGAAATCAGCAATACAAGCTGTAAGATTATTTTTCAGCAGCACATTCTTGCTTTTGATGTCCCTTTCAAGTTAAGGAAAAAAAAATATAAATATTGAGCTCTAGAGCATAAAATACATAAAGTTCTAAGAAAAAAGTAAAACAATAAACCCCAAAAATGTTATAATGCAAAAGGCAATAAAGTTATAGATAAGCATTCCATTTAAACAACAAAATAATAATAACAGAATAATAATAAAACCTAGGAGTACATTTGCACAACTTTATTCTTACGGAAATATATGAGACAGCAACTATCACTTAATGCTTAAAATACACACAGATTTGTAAGCATGTTATAGAACAGAAACAGAATAAAGAGTTACTGCAGGCTTCTATTACAACTACATTTTGTTTGTTTAAATAACACAAGACAAAACACTTTGGAAAAAAAAAAGAATTGTCATTGTTTCTAGCAAGGAGATACATCATCTCCTGAAGAAAGAAAAGGCAATGGACAGGATTGCCATCTGTCCTGTGTGTACCGCTGCCTCCCCTTTTACACCTCTCCCCCCCCCCCCCCCCCCCCCCCCCATTCCTTTACCATCAGTCAAGCAGTTTTGCCATGACATTACAAATTCTGCAAAATCTGTATTTCTCTTACTCTGTATCTCCATCTTTTCATTTGGTTACCACTATCATTTTCAGCTCTAGTGTTCTATATTTACCTCATTTAAAAAAAAACAACTAGCAATTACAATCAACAATAGGCATAACATGCTTACAGTAACAGTTTCTGTTTGAAGCATTCAGTATCATCTAAAGTTATGTATGTTAAGTGTTTCAGTTGTTTCAGATAGCTATAATGCTAATTATTTCATATACCACATAGGGTACTTAATTAACTGTATAGAAAATGAAATTGTGACATTATCACAATCACCACATCAAGGTCTATAAACCATCAGCTAGATTTCTGTTTAGGCTGAGCAGGCTTTTCTTACGAGGCTCTCAACAATTCCGGAAGGAAGGTATCAGGGAGTAATCATGTAAATACTTCCTCTCTATCCATGTTTCACATCCTTTAGCTCAAAGTTGAATACTAACAATCACCTGAAAACATTTTACATATACTATACCTATGTGAGATGGCAGGCTTATGTCCATCTTTTAGCCCTGGTATATCCTCATGAAGATAAGCCAAGCCTCTAGCCATAGTCTGAGCTATGTGACAGAGCTCATTCCAAGAAACCACATTAGCCTTGAGAAAGTCTGTTAATGAACCCTGCATGGAAAAAAAACAGCAAAACCAGAATATCAACAATTACAGGACCGATTTCATTCTCATCTACTCATAAACAAAAATTCTAGTTGGCCTCCATCACTGAGGAACACAATGCACCTGGCTGCCTTTCTCTGTTTTCTGATAAATCATGTAATTATACACATACATACACAAACAACTGCTAGTTTAAACAACAAAAAAATAACATTTGCATTGTCTCTAATCCATGAATAGAATCAAGGTGGCTCTACACATCACCTCTACAAGCAAAAAGTGCAGTGAGCTCAAGTACAGTGGCACACTTGACAATGAACTGCACTCAGCTGTGTCAGAAATGGGAGCTAGACTTTAGACATTTTAACTCTTTATAAAGAGAACCCTTTTTACAAGCATGATTTATCATCTTCCAGGAACAGGAAATTACAGGTTAGATTCACCTTCAAGAATCTTACTGGACTGTGTACAACCATTCTTTAGGAGCTTTAATAGCCTGTCTTTTCTTGTGGATCAACAACAGAAACTCCAGTTTCACAACATAGTTTCAGAGTGAAACATACACTCTGAATAAAGTGATAATATAAAGTAAAATATATTCAATGTAAAGCTCTTCTCTTCAGAGTCACTTCTATAGCGCACTCTATACACACGTTTTCACAGATTTACATATTATCCAGATTGTGAGATGTCACTGTGTCACATGTTGCTGTGTGAAAAGCCAAAAGGGAAAAATTAACAAAGAGCTGTCAAAGTGTAGAGGCTATACTTCAAAAATAAAACTAAAAATCCTATTTTCCATCAGTTATCTCAGATGCCATCTTTCCAACAGAAACAGCATTTTCTTTTAAACTCTTACAGACCTTTCAGAAAGGCAAATTAGTTTATTATCTACTTATCATGGAGATCTGTCAAAAAACGTAAATGGTTGCATAGTTCTAGTCTTCTAAATTATTAGAGCAGAGGCATAAGTGGGACAAAAATGAGAGGATGAAGAATTTAACATTCAGTACTAAAAATATGATCTATGACCTAACCGTAATGCACTAAAATGTCCCTATTTTCTCCAATCTGCTACAGGTAACATCGTCCTAAAGCGTCCCTGCTGTGCCACTGCTAAGTTTAAGTTAGGGTGTCTTGGCTTCCCACCTCTTTTTGTACTTAAAACTCTGTGACAGTTATATGCATTTAAAAAAAAAATCTAGGTGGCTAATATATATTAAATATATTAAGAATATGTTCACTGTTTTATATTTATTAATGTTTCTTACCATGATTATAACGATAGAATGGATACATATTACTTCACTCTTACAGACTCAAATCAACTAACACAAGTAAAATAAAAATAAAAAAACAAAGTCTCTGCAAGATGCAGTTTATTGAATTTATATATATTTAGACGGGAAATATTAAAAAATACATGTTCTAAAAAGCAAAAAGGTAGAATGATTTGTTTCAATAACATTGCCTCTTAAATCCAGCATCTCCTCATAGCCAATGAAAAGAGACAAGCTAAGAGTAAGCAAAAACTCTTTTAAATTTTATTTCTTAACTGTCTCAAGTTCACATTCGTAAGAAATTTCTAAGGCCATAATCACAAAATAAAAGAGCTATTATGCTGAGAATTAAACATACCTTCTCATGAAATGCTGTAATTAACCAGAGATCAACATCAATGCTAGTGCCTCGCTTCTCTGCGCCAATGAACTGCAAAATATTGTCATGTTTCATCCCAGGTAAACTGTAAATTTCATATTCGTTCTGCCATGACTGTTTGTCCTTTAAACAAAGAACACAAACCACATTAATACCACAATAATGAGTACAAGAGGTACTTGAGGTACTTTCCCTGACAGACATTACCATCCACAATTTACCATGCATTTGTAAGTGACCTGTCAAAATAACTAAAACCTTTTTTTTGGGGGGGGGGGGGGGGGGGGGGCAAAGACAGGCTTTACAGGGCAAAGAAAGCAAGCATGCTGTATGGTATTAACAATTACAAATGTTTAGACTAATAACTATGCTACAAACTACTGATCTAACATATAAAGAAATGATAAAAAACTGTCTTTAACATGTATTACATATTCACATTTAGTGGAAAACTGTCTGAAAAAAACTTAACTCGTTGTAAACAAATCATCAGCTGCTGAAAACAACCTTAGCTATCACAGGTATGAACCATGGCAACACAGAAATCTGTAGATCAGGACTGGAGTCTACATAAGGCAAATCATTACAGTATCTTTCATCTTAAGAGCATAGTTCAATTTTTGTATTTTATAAATCTGTAACAACCCCATAAAGAATTAGAAACAGGTTTTCCTTAGTCTTCAATATAGCTTATATTGTTCTGATGGCCAAAACCAGCATAAATACATGCCTTTTCTCCTAGAAGGATAAGAAACTGCAGATGTATTTATTCAGCAAGTCACACTTGGTTAATCATCAGAAAACACAAGCACATTTTTTTCACCTCAAACAGCAGTGAGTATTTTAAGTTGATTTAAAATCTATCCTAATGTAATTGCATATGATCACTTTGTGTTCTTTAACTAGACTGGACCTGAAAATTATGAGCAAAATCTATTCTAAACATAGCTTTTAGAGGGTACTTGCTGGGAAGCAAGTATTTCAATTATATTTAATTTGAGCAATCACCTTATAGGCTTGCATTTCAGGGCAATCCTTCTAAGTACAATTTAATTTGAAAAATATTGTCTAGTTTTTCTCATCTGATGAAAAGATGAGTGAGACTTACTTAAAAATCTTCACACCAAGTAAGTATTTTTATGACTAGAAGTATGAAAGTTCCACTGAGCTTACTTCAGTAATATGCTTGTTGCATTAAAATACTTATTTTAATTCAATAAAGCTCTACCTGCCCATTTTTCAGCTCAACATTTCCATCTAGATTTACATTATATATTGAAAAATGTCTAAAAAGCCTCTTATTGTGACTAAAAAAGCTGTTTAACATTATGATATTACAAGCAACACAGGACATTAAGAACTTCTGCTTACCTGAATAGGGAATATTTTGACTGCAACATACTCGTTTAGTAGTTGAGCTTTCCATACGCAACCAAATCTTCCCCTAGCTTTGATCTCTAGTAACTGCAATGGCTTCAAACCCATCAATGGTGAAGGTGGTGGTGGTCCAGGATCCTGAAATCAGGTTAAACTCATTAATGAATTTAGTTATTATATGTGCTATCTATGATGACAGCCCTAAAAATAAATGCTTGTAAACTGCAAGAGATTTGTATTAGGTACTCAACCCCCTTACATCAAATTATCTCAAAACAAACCAGAAACAACCCAGCAGCCCTTCTCCGCAGGAAAGTAAAATGAAATTGTAAAACATGCTCAGAATTAATGTGTGACAGCATACCAACAGTTACAGTATGAATCTAACCATGTGAAAAAGCAGAGCAGAAATGAAGGAAAAAAGATAATCAAGCTTTACTTGTTACTTTTTTCAAGACAATCAAAATAAGCACCTTTGATACATTTAAGGCTTGGGTTTTTGGTTTGTTTATTGGACATACACATGATCCTTTCAAACCTTCAGTTCAATGATCTGGTGACTTAACTCTACAAAGCCATTAACTCCATTTCTGAGTGACTGACTCTGCAACCCTCAGATATCATCTGGGAAGCAGATGAGGTCTACATCAGCAGATTGGATGGGGGCAGCAGTGCAGAGCTGGAGTGTATCCCCTCACTGTCTGCAGTGACCACATACTGGTTGAGTTCTCACAAGCCATCTGAGCTGACACCAGCACAGCTCTCTAATTCAGTAATTCTACTGTTTATGGGAGACATGAGGTTGCAAACCAAGATGAGGGCAGGCCATGCTACTAACAAGGTCCTCCAGTACATCGCAATTTTTTTTCATTCAGGCCCCACTGAACCACATGCATAGAGCAGGTATTTGGCACAGGAAACCAAGTATCATCACCTCCAGTCAGCCCTCCAAGCTACACTAATGGTGGTGTGAAGAACGACAGCATCAATGCTGCAACCTACCAATCCATTTTAACTGCTCCCAACTTTTGCTAATGTAGATAGCTAATAACTTACTGAAATACAAGTACTTGGCTGTACCCCAGAAACAGAACTAGAATTAAATTTAAGAGATCACCTTGTCATATCTCACAGTGTTTGTACTCTATTGAGGGGCCAGCCCACCAGTTGCTTTTCAAATATGACAGCACAGGCTAGGAAGCACAACTGCAAGTGAGGCAGAGCTTCCACACAGCTATCCATATAACCACCAATATTTCTTCAGATCTAAACAATTTCCCTTTCTGGGAAAGAAAACGTGAAGGCTTAAGGAATACCCTGTATTTTGTATTTTATACATCTCTTACATATCCTGTACCATGCACATCATCTGACTGTAAGAAGTAGATTTTTTAACTTTCTTGCCAAAGGCATGCTTCTATCTGGGCTGTCCTCTTTTCTCCAGCCTTTCATGGTGGATTAGCTGTACTTACGTAAGCTTCTTCCCTACCATGAACAAATGCATCAGACCCATATACAAATGCTTTTGCATGGAAGAATGTCACTCTATGCACAGAACATGATTGTCTTCTGTACGATCCCTGTTTTTTGCAGGAAGGTAAGTCAAGTTCTAGTGTATAGTGGTCACCAAGCAGAATTACCAACACTGTCAACACAAGACACGGCTCCACTTTCCTTTTGCAGTCCCCCAGATACGTTTAAACCACAATTTGTTCTTCAGTCCCAATTTCTACAGAGAAACTGTCGATGTCAGTGGCAGGGGTGATAGATTGGGAGTACACTGCCAGATCACACAGATGGGAAGAGGGTGAATGACTGCTTTTACTGGCAGTGCACGACTATGGAGACCAGAAAACTGCACCACAACTCTCAGTATCACGCATGAAAGAAACAAACATACAAATGAAAGTTAGGTGTTGCTTTTAAATGATATTCCCCCCTGCAAAATACAATTAAAAAAAACCCCAAAAGTCTACTGTTCAAAAAAGTCTCTATAATATATGTTTGGCTTCTCAACTTTTTCCCAAAGCAGTCCCAGCTGTAATACTGGTTTAAAGAGAGAGAATGAAAAAACACTGGAGGAGCTGCTTCTACAAAACAAATGAGAGTACTCTAAAGTTAAGTATTAGAGCACTTCAGTGAACAACAAAAAATCTTGTGCATGTTAAAGACACATCTTCTGAAGAACCTGGTTTTAAGTATACTTTACTATTCTGAGAATGGAGACAAGTACTTCTGTATTGAACATAGAATTTTGAGTAGTTTAAGTGCAGGAATAAAATAACCATTCACTTGTTTCTTATTAAGCAACAAATATATCCTTAAAGGATAACAAGCTTTGAGGACAGAGTTACAGCAATTTAAAGAAGCTGTAACCTAATTCCACAAATTAGTAACTGTAAAAGAAACTATAATGTTTTAAATTCAAATTAATAGACACATTACAATACTGCCTTCAAACAAATATGAAATCCTTTTGCAAATTTGACAGCAACAGATGCTTAAATCTGTTACATCAAAATTGCTGAGTTTAAAGTGGGCAAGTGAAAATATAGAAAATGAAGTTTCAGAGTTAAGTTTTCCCTCCAATGCTGACTTTCATTCAGTACCAAAGCCCTTTATATGAATATTCCACACACCAGGGAAATCACTGTCCTTAATTTGTAATAGTTACAGTTCCAAGGGAAACTGGAAACAAGATGCCCAAATCTACTCACAAAAGCCAACTAACTCTTAACTGTTATTTTAAAGAATCCTGAGCACTGTGCAGCATCTGGGGATTTAACATCCGTTAATTAAACAAGCTTTTAAAGTTTTGAACCTAGCAACTTGCCTAAATTGAGAGAACGATTTATGGGAAGTAACACCTTTGCTTTAGTAGCTAGAACCTCCATTCCTTTCTATATCCTCCACCAAAACATCTGCTGACATTCTGAAGCACACTAGATGATTATTTCTTGACAATCCAGCAAATGATCACTTAATAGTTCTCAAATATTTGGTGAAAAAAATTGCACTATCATGAGAGAAGGCACTAACTCCTCAATAAGAAGAGGCCAGCGATAACTGGTGCTTTTTACTTTCACATTAGACCATGATACTTTTCATATACCTGAATTTCTTATTTCCTAAAAAATGCTGGCATTTCAAAGTATTTTTCCACTACCTTATACAGCAACCTCCTGTGGTTCCCTGCACATTTCCCTTTTGTGTTGAAACACTTCTATGAAGTCAGAACTTTTGGTGTGCTTATGAAGCAGCAACACACACCCACACACATAAATCAAAACAAACCCAGACTTAAAATGTAAAGTGTAATTGCCTTCTGTTAACATAACTAAAAAGAATAGTTTTCCAGTTTATTATTTTAACAACTTTGTTAAAATCAACAGGCATTTACTCTAAATCTATAGGTACTATTTTTGTATAGCAACATTCTTTCACAATATTTTAAACTTGCTCTACTTCTAAGCAAAAATGTTTAATATGCCATAGGCATAATTATTTTTGTATGGCTTTTTAAAATCATCTCTGTGTTGCCAAGGATGATGATATAATGTGAGTATAGCTATAATGTGCACATATTAGTCTAACAGCCTGCCACAGCTGTCAAAAAATCAGCACCCAATTTTCCATTCCTGAACCTTCCCTGCCCCTTTCCTTGGACCGATTCTGGCATTGGTTTGACGATACCACAAATCAAGGCGATACACTATACTGCCAGAAAGCTTTTCTTTTGGGGGGTTTGTTTGTTTGTGTGTGTGTGTGTGTGTGTGTGTGTGTTTTCTGTTTGGGGTTTTGTTGTTTGGTTGTTTTTTTTTTGTTTGTTTGTTTTGGTTTTGTTTTTAAAATCAGGTAGTTTGGCAAATTGAATCAGTTTGCAGCAACATCCAGGTTAAGGCAAAAAGCACTGCAAGGCAGAGGGAAGAGGGGCTCCCTCTTTTGGTAGCAGTGAGTCACTGGCCCATCTCACTTCGTCCACACTATACCTTCTCAAAGCCACTCTGTCCTAACCCCAGGGCAGTTCACAAAGGCAACAGGAGCAGAAACACTCCTGCCACACAATCATCTACTGCTAGGGGGAAAATGAGAAGCAGCTATGTCTGCAAAAAGTACTTCAACTAACAAAGTCATATGATGCATTCTACTTGGACAACTTTGGACAACTCTTCCTATAGGTCAATGCCGTCAATCCTTAACACCGTAAGTTCATGTTGCATGTTCATCTCAAAATCATGGACATCTAGTTATGTTGTACACTCCAAGCTTTTCAAATCTCAAACAAGACTTTTTTGGTTCTGATTTTTATAGCTGGGAATTCCAGTCAGCTGCCAGGTAGTGCATACTAGTCATACCAGAAAAAGAACAGAGGGAAAATATATTCATGGAAGAATGGTAACTTACAGAAATAGGTTTCCTTAAGTGCCTTCAAGAATAGATCTTAAGATCAAAGAGAAGCTTAACAAACATAAAACTACAAATCCCTTCCAAATATGACCAACTAAACAGATTGTTTAAGGACCTGCCCCAACACAGTCTGTCAGCACTTGGGTTTATCTCCAGTTATGTCTTTCATATGGCAACTGAATCAGGTGACTCACCATGTACAACAAAGAGAAAAAAAAAAAAAGACCAATTAGCCAAACAGGGTTGTACACAGACACATTTCCCTTTCCTGGCTCCAAAATATAAACAAGTTCTCAAAATTGCTGACCACACACAATTTTTGTTAAATGGTGCAGTATTTTCCCTTGGTTATATTTATTTTACAGCTTATATTGTGAATAACTTACTGGTTTAAAGCCATGCCCCCCTGTCCTATCCCTACAGGCCCTTGTAAAAAGTCTCCAGCTTTCTTCCCAGCCCACTTAGGTACTAGAAGGGAATAGGGTCAAAAAGTTCTCACTGAAAAACTCTGATGACTGTCTTGGCTGCTTTCTCCCTTTCTCATTTGGGTCTGGTTCATTTTCACCAGCTGATCTGTGAAGTTAAGATCCAAATACTGTAAAAGCAGTCAGAATTCTTAAATTTGTAGTTATTCTAAAATTTACTACAATTTGTATCAAACTACATTTCTTTTAAATAGCATCAATTTTTCTCCTTTCACTCCAAAAAATCCTCTCTTTTATCACAGATTGCAAACATATTCCTTACAGTAATATAAACAAGGTAGTTATTTGTAGTGAAGATACTTCAGCTTCATCCCTAACAAAAATTATGCCAACTGAAGAAAAACAGTAACACAAACAGAAGGAACTCAGCTAACTCTTTACAGATGCAAGATACTCGGGAAAATATCATTTCCATTATATTTTCTTCTAAGTTACAAGACATTACAGCTTTTAGAGAACTAAAGAGACAATGGAAACTGAGCACTCACATTACAACTCAAATCTCGACTTTTTCAATATCCAATTTAGAAGTCTAGCAATAACGACCAGATTTCTGAATTAACAGTTTTCAGTTACTTGCATTTTCATATAAAGTGTCAGTAGTTTAACACAAGTAAAAATAACTTCTGGGCACTGAGAAAGACGAAGCAGAGACTTAATAGTGAAAGAGTATTTTTCTTCAGGTAATCTATTCCTTCAAGCTCCTGAATCAAAAAAAAAAACATCACTCAAATCACAACACAAAGACCACACACCTCAAACAGCTGTTGGCATTTCACAGGTGGGAGATGACAACAGACACCCAAAGACAGGACAGGAGTGGGCAGGATGTGCCATGTACTTTCAGGGCAGCCTACCACAACACAATGTGCAGTCTGTACTGGCTGAACTGCTCCCACAGCCCAAGACTGAGGTTATCAGCACATGCTGGCCCAGTGGAGCCCTCACCGCCACTCATACGAAGTGGCACCAGGGTGGAAGTGACACAAAGGCAAGTGGGTAGCTGAAGAACACAAACTGACTACGCTTCGTGTGTTTCATTATCAGTTCCTGAAGGTGTTTAACTTGATAGCCTGAGACACTACAGTAAATTTTAAGAAAGCTATGAACAGCAGACTAAATCTGTTTTTAAACCATGCATGCTTACAAATTTCTTCTCCAAAACACTGACTGGTGAAAAAAGTAATTAATACCAAAACAACTTCTTACATGTCCACAGAAAGTTCCATAACCATGAACAAATATCAATGCATCTTACCTCAATCATTATATGAAAGGCGTGCTTGTAGAGGGGAAAAAACACAGGCAAAAGAAATTACTATATATACCAATAATGGAATGAAAAACAGCTCATAAGAGACAAAATCAATTGTTTGTGAATTAACAACAAAAATATCCCTGGGGATAGCAATACTTCCTTGCACTAATAATGGACAATTTATATATATATATATATATACACACATAAAAATCCATCATTGATATGTTAGCAAAGTGGGCAATTAAAGTTATTATTCAAACCCTTTGCTGAATTGATCTTATAATTAAAACTACAGTTGTCCATTTTAGGTTTATAAACGTTCATGTTTCTACCAAACAGTATATAAAGACATGCAGAAAGTTCATACAAACACAAGTTACACAAGCTTATTTCTTGTTTCCTCACAAGTGTACAGTAGAGGGCAGGGTTGTACTTTTTAAATTCACTGTAATTAGTCACTAGCTGTGGAAAATGAAAACTTTTTAATGTCTGTGTTATAACTAAACCTTTGAAATAAATAGGTCATCATATACTAGGTCTGTATTACTAAACTTAATCAACAAATCTGGCATGCTAGAGCTGTAACTAGAACAAGTGAACTTGAAAAAAATATATCCAACATCTATAAAGGGAGATTACAGTATTAAAGATTCTTTCAAACAAGTCACACGAGTTCACAGACTGTGGAATGAAATCCATTATAAAAACCTAAGTCCCAGAGCACTGTTGCTGAGACTTAAAACCACATTTTAATGACACACGCTTGTTTGTGTTACTTTCATCTCTTTTTTATTGAACAATTTCATTGCCACTCAAGCAGAGAAGCGCTGAAACACCTTTTTTCCTCCTCCTGTACATCTGCCTCAGCCATTTTCTTTGTCCTTTATAATTTGATCAGATAGATGTTGCAAGAGCATGAAATTCAACACTTGAAGTATTCACCTGCTACGTAACAGCTTTTTCTTCACCCTTTGTCTTTACATTCTTAAGATGCTACAGAGTGGAGGGCCAACAAAAAACTTTTCTCTGCACTTTGAAAACTGTCTAGCACACACTTAAGAATTATCTAAATAATTAATAATAGAAGGGCTGAAGTATTTCTTGAAGGCTAGTTTAGTTGTGAGTCAGATTTATAAATACTATCACAGACCTTGCAGTCACTGACAGAGAGAGCACTGAAGAACACCAGAGCTAAACAGGACCACTCCATCATTCAGCAGACCACTGGAGATGAGGGTAACACCCACACCAAGAGGATGAAGCAGATTCTTGCAGGACCTGTACAGCCTCTGTAAATACTTTGGGGCATTTCATAAGTGAAAAAAAACCCATACTAAACAAAACCACCCAAATTTTTTTTCAGAGAACCTGATGATCTTCACCTTCAAATCTCTCAGAGCTGGTGGTTCCAGTAGAATGACAGCTATTCCACACTTGTTTAGGAGAACTACAAGTAAGATTCTGCAACACTAAGTCCACAAACCACAAGCACAAGTTCCTCCTCCAAGCCCCCCCATATTTCTTTGCCAGAAGCAGCAGCCAAGCAAAATAAAAGTATTAATCTGTGAATGGGATAGGGAATAGCTACTGTATCAGAGTAATAGATCTCTGTGTACTCCTATTTCTCCTAACTCAAGTAAGTCAAAGGATAGACAACTGTTAAAAAAAATGTAAAAAGCATTGCTTGTATGAAATAGTTATTCAATAAATGTCTGGTTTGTGGCTGTAAAAAAAAAAAAAAAAAAAAAAAATTATTTTCCAGGCTTATTTACTATTAAAGTTCTCCAGCTTCTGAGAATTTTTAATTCCTCAGAAATAAGGAAAAGATACACAAAGCCCACCTTTTTGCTCTTACCATAAGGAGGAACTGCAAATATGAAATTGAGAAATGAGTTCTTTTACTGCTCTCTTAAGGGGCTCAACGGCCCCCAAACACTAATAAATTAGACACACATGGAAATTTTGAAAAACGCACATCATAAGCCTCCTGGTTTGAAAATCACTGTCCTTCCCTTTAGACTACAGACCACTGCCTCAGGCTTTTCATCAGAAACGCAAGCATCACCAGTTTAAGCAGTACCAGGTTATTACAGAAACGCAAATAGGTGCAACAACTCTTATAAATTGGCGGTAATCTCCCTCTCCCATTTGTGTAGCTACTATCTATACAAATGTATATAAACACACTAACTTCCTATTTATACCGACTGAAAAATACTTCTAAAGGTTTTATCATGGATTAGGGAAAGTATTATGATATTTATAACCAACTAGAAAAAAAAAACACAAAAAAACAACCCAGCCAAACAAAATGCCCCAAAACCATAAATACCCCAAGCAAAAACACCATCCCAAATAAAAACAAACTCCACAAAAAAATCCAAGCAACGTGGTCTTCTCCAAAGTCTGGGCTACCCACAAATATATCGTGAACTTCAAAAATGTTACAAAAATATTTATAAACATGTGGAATTCTAAAGAAACGCAACTTACTGTATTATAAACTTATTACACTGATTACTTCAGGTGTTCTTAACTACTACCCTAAATATGACATCTGCATCCTCATCCCTCAATCTCTTTGGAGAATACAAGGGTAAAATTAATTATTTTTTTTAGAACTTCTGAAATGTGTAGTTCTCATCCATTTAGTGATATAAAACATTACCTGAAAGACATCAATCTGAAATATTCAGGAAAACGGACTTTATTATGGAAAATTATTAAAAACCTTCTGAAGATAAGAGTACCTGACTGCAGACTTCATCGAGACCAGTACTTTAGCCTTCCTATGATTGTTCCAAAGCACTGTTTTAAGACTATAATCTACATGTGGTCTAATGTAGATTTTGAATATTACTGTTTACAATGAATGAACAGAAGAGAAATCTTCAAGGTAAATTGTATGTAGCACTGTAAAAGCTTCCAGTGTCTTGTCAGTTGTTAAATGCGCATATGCTAAGTCAACATTTACGAGACTAAAACACAAAGTACATAGAGCCTTACCAGATGGATACACATCTTCATGCACCAGTCTCTCAGACCCACTCCATACAGGCCTAATTCTAAAGCTAAACCACCTTTATAATAAGCCAAGAATAAGATACAGTGTAGAAAGCTAAGGTATAGTATTGCAAGTATAGCATACAGGTTAGAATTATTTAGAATTCTGCTTAAATTAATGCAGAAGTAACTTGAAGCTCACACTATAGAAAGACATTTTAAAGCCTCTTTTTTTAACTGTACTTTAGAGTTCCCTTTAGGTTGCTATTCAGGATAAGTCACCTTACACCTGGATTTGTATTTTCTTACCTCTTGAGAAAATAAGAATTTATGGTTTACTTAAATGGAGACAGCTCATTCTGAAGGTGAATGGAAAACACAGGGAAGTAGTTGGGTGGGGTTTTTGGGGGGTTGGGTTTCTGGTTTTTTTTTAACGGATTTTAAAGCTATCAAAGCTTAGAATCAAAGGTCTGGATCTGGTCATACACAGAACATTTAAAAAGCAACACTATAAACTTGGTTTTCAATTGTTTGTCATACAAATTATTCCCCCTGTTAAAAGATTTTAAGGAGCTGCCTGTATTGTAAGAGCCCATAAATTAAACAAAGAAAAAGGGAAAAAGACACAGTTACAAGCTATTTACCTACTACACATTAAGGTCTCTTCATCTATAACAACTTTACTTCTGTATTCTTACGGTGTCCCTATATTTATGGTTTTTTTTTTGGTTTTGGGGTTTCTTTTTTTTTTCCTTTCCTTTATACAACCATATCATGGTTATGCCTCTTGGACCAAAACCAAAGGATAATGCCAGACCTTCCTCCTGTGTCAGTCCAGCTGTTGTTAGCAACTATAAAAGAAATTCTTATTAGCCCTCAAGATACGAAATGCAAAATTAGAGAACGTGAAATCATTCGCAGATCTAACAGTTCAAATCCAGAGGTCATTCAGCTATTCCTTTTAATACTAACACTTTATATGTTAATCATTCATTAACCACCGATATGTACCCAAAAAACAAATCCCTCCTAGCTAGCCACAAGCTCTCAGTCTTTTTTTTTAATTTTTACTCTAAGCTCCAGCTTTTCTTTGTTGATCAATCTTTTTCCCATTTCATGTAAGCATTTGGCTTCTCCTTCATGCATTTTTCAAGTAGCTATTAATCTTCCCAGGTTTGGAATAAGTCCTAAAAACACCTCTCCCTTTCTTATTCTTCATTTTTCAAGTATTATTTTATTAAAATATCTGTAACAACAAGAAAAATAGTATGGCTGGAAAACAAAATCCGGAAAAAATCCCTAACAATTTAATTTCTTCATCCTTTTTCAGCAGCCAACTGTGTGACAAAGGGATAAAGGTTATCTCGGAAATTTTAAGCATACCAGGTATTTGATGTGCTGAAAGTCAATTTAGAGAATGGAAACAACAAATGAAAACCTTTTTCCTATACCAACTACAAAAAATTTACTGTTACTAATTACTTTTTTTTTGAAAACAAACCTCAAGTTACACACACTCACCAAACTTGACACAGGTCTGGTGCCCTAGACCAGATGTATGAGGTTACAAACTACAGCTAAGAGCAGTGCTTGTTCTGTTATTTTGTTCTCATCCTTTTCATTTCCAACACAGAATTTAGTTTTCCACTCCTACATATGCTGTCGGACCTGCAGTCAGTTCAGAATCTGTCTTGCTTCTATTGCTACTAGAGATTTTTCTTCATCATTACTCCCCTTGCACTATGTGATGCCGTTTTCAATTCTAATTTCTTACAGCTTAAACCGAAATACCAAAACCATGACATAGCTACAGAAACCTACTCATACTTGGGTGTCTTCAGAAAGAGATACACTAAAGAAAGACTATCATGGTATAGTAGTGAAGGGAGCCATACCAAAATGGCATCAACTAAAATTAGAAGGGGTTTTTATGTTCAAATAACCCCTCTTCCCCCACAGAAAAAAAATGAGACCTCTTTATATATCTTTTATATATATCTCTTTATACAGATCTCTTTACATTTCACACATGTGCTTCTATACTATTCTTAATTCTTGGTTCATATAGCACGACATTGAAGACCAGGGACATTTTCCATCTATATAGGACCAGTGAGGTTCATCCTCATGGAGGAAGGGAGAAGCAACACATAAAAGATCATTGTACTTAATATTGGGAATGATAGGTGAAAAGCTTAAATGAAGTGATACATAGGGGTTAAAAGCAGAAGACATAGTTGTATTTAACTATGCAATCCTCCACTCTGAGGAGAGAAAGAAATGGTAATTCCTAGCAACTAACCCTGCTTTTATAGGCATGCTAATAGACAGGATCTGTCCATTCTGAGTTTTTAAATTTCTGGTAACACCAAACAGGCCTAGACCAGGGCTTTTTTGTGATTAGTGATTAAAAACATGAAGTATCTTTAACCCAAGTAATTTCAAATGTTCCAGAAGAAAGCACAAAAATAGGTTATGAAGACATTATGTGAATCTGTAAAGCTTTTTTCAACCCTCTCAACATATGACTCTTACTTTAAAAACAACACAAAACAAAAAAAGCAACTCTGTGATCCAGTAAGATATTCATAACTTGAGCACTCAACAGAAAGTACAAGAGGTTAATCTCTCTTTGTACAGTAGGGATGTAAAATGTTGGAAGCCACAGCTCTGTGAACTGATAAAACCCAGAAGTGTTAACTTGTGTCAGTTACACTATAAAATAGGTTAAGGCCCTATCTATCAGTTGACAAAGTGGTAACACCACAGTTGTAATTAGCATTGACTGACAACTCTGGCCCAAGCTCAAGAGATGTAAAAAAATAAATGAGCATAACATATCAACTCCTTGCCATCCACATTTGTATTTCTACCAGGAATATTAGTAGGATGCTGTGGAGATATCCAAACTAATTTAAGAGTGAAAGCCTTTGTCTGCAAAGACAATACTGCTTCATTTTCAGTGTATCTGGAATTCATGAGTGAAAATTAACTGGGTGAGAGTCTTTTTATATGAAAAAACACAAATTCAAATATTTAAAATACTCATCTATTTTTGGTAAGTTTATCAGACATATGAATAGATGTTTGCAGCACGATTAAATCAAATATAAATAAGAAAATGAAATGGTTCTTTCAAACCACTTGACGTATGCACGTATGTATTTAGCAAATTTACACTTGTTAATAACTCATTTAAGGACTGAGAGTGACAGATTTTCTACATTTTGACAGATTTAACTGGATAGCACCCCACACGATAAAGTGAAGCATACAGTTAACAGCACAAACAAGAGAGAGAGTAGTATGGAAGCAAAGACTAATGGGAGCAACAGGAGCAAGGACAGGTCCCTGCACCAACACCTCGAAGCAGTTCTGCTGTGGCTGCTCCTGAAACATGCCTCCGGACCCGGCGAGCGCTCCAGGCTCAGGCACCGGCAAGGAGCATCTCAGCAGTTACCTGCTCTCATAGCCCCCTTGGACTCTCTACCCAAATAACTGAAGGAAAGCAGGACTGAAACATGTAAGGAGCAAACAAAAATATCTGCTGCTTTCCAGTCTGAAACCGAACATATAAACTAACTCTTCCGTATGAAATTTTAAAGTAAGTATGTAGATTCAAAGGGAATATAAAGTTAACGTAAACCACGAGGCTGTGAACTCAGCTCAGTTTGTGTAGGTAATGCCTGCCTGATACATGCATCTACCATGAATTACATTCAAAGGAAAATGAATGTTGTTTGCCTTTACTCAGATGTTTGTCCTTTATATTTCACTACAGGTTCAAAAATAAAATTTCTCCTAGCATTTTTTTTTAACCATTCCAAACCATTTCTTTCCCTTTTGCACACTGATTATTTTCATTTACTTACACCTTGTCTTAATTCTTCAAAAATGTCTTTCTTCAATGCTTCCTCATTTTTATCTTTCACTTACTCATCTATCCTTTAATTTTTACTGAAAGAAAGATTAGTACCAGGGCTTGCTGTACCTAAGTACTCCCACCACCCCACCTTCTGGGAAGAGCGTAGAAGATAACCTTTATCTGCATCTCATACAGAGAAATCCCCATTTTCTAGCAAGTATCTGTTACACATGTGATCTAGCCATTTGCTACAGAAAGATTTAAAAAATAAATCATTTGCCTACAAACTCTAATCATGTCCTAATTATTGATATAATATTATTTTTAATATATTAATCACAAAAATATTTAAATGTTTGTTTCATAGTTATAAAATTACTAACACTTTTCCCTCTCTTCCTGCTTCCTCTGCCTCCTGTTCAAATCAGCTCTAATCAAATTTAAAGTGGGAAATACTGCTCTGCTGCATATAGAAGAATATTTATATAATCTATTTGCATAATAATTTAGTTTTTCAGGCAGAAGCAGCTTTTCCTGACGTTCCACATCAAACCTTAATGCCTATTTACCACAAGATAAGAAAAATGTTATTATACCATAACTAGCTCAAGCACCAACATATACTTATCCCAACAGATACAATCTGAGTATTTTGTTAACAAAACAGGTTATTACCCTATTTATTAAAAATCTATGATGTGTCCACTCCTGTACCAAACAAACCATGCAAGAAAAGAATTGCTGCTGAAAGAAGGAAGATGAAAAAAAATCCAGTTCTTGATCTCTCACACATATTAACATTTGTTTGCTTTTCTATCACTTTATCCTTTACTTATTGAAGTCTAGAAAGGAAACCACCTGCTGAATTTTTCACAGAACTAGCAGTTATGAAGTTATGAATTTGTTCTTACAGTGAAGTTTACCAGGTTGTTATCAAGTCCTGAATACATAAAAACTGAGATGGATGAAGTGATTATGCTAACAGATTGCATGAAGTTTGAGGATTTGCAATACTTTCGCAAGGACAGGAAACATACTTTTTTCCTCTAAATTATGTTCTTTTCATTTGGCAAGAACATATGCGCACTGCTTCCCCCCAAATTTTCCTTATCACTACTAAACTGAAATCAAACCAATTTTATGTATCAACGACATGCAACACTTCTTCCCAAACAACCTGAAATCAAGCAGTTAACACTGAAAATATCACAGAAACCGGGGGTACAGAGCAGATACATATTAATCCTTTTTAAATGCAATCCTACAAAAAAACAGCAAATGTTTTGATTTTATTTATCCCAAATAGCATCACTGTATGAGAGACAATGTATTATAAGTGGTCACTGCCCTGAGCTAGGAAGCTCAAGTTCAAGTCCTGCTGCAAAAACCCAAGTCGTGTGGGATCCTGGGTAAGTTGTTTACCTGTTTCCACTACCACATTTTGTTCATCTTTCCTACTTCGGTCTGAACAATTTACTGCCTTAATTCTTTTCATAAAAGTCTTCTAATCTCAACTGAATCTCTAGACATAACTGAAGGGAGAGGAATTCTGGCATTAATACTAATTACACCTCCAGAATAAGCTGGAGCCATACAACAGCAGGAACTATGCACACACAGCCATAAAGTGTTTGTTTTGATGCTTCAAATTTGGAGACCAGAATCGTAATATTTTCTAAGTAGAACACAAACACTGCTAAAGCTAAAAAATTTAGGACAAAACAGAAAATACATAAACAAGAGGAAAAAGACTATATGAATCACAGTGAGGCCATGAGCTGAGCTAAGCCCTAGAACTATGCTTCAACTGAAGTTTTCCTTTTAGCTGATACCCGTATCCCAGTCATTTGATTTTTAAAAAAATTGCTAAGCTTTTACTAGTTGCTATTTTCTGTTCACTGCAACTTGCCATTATGAATTACCATCTCTCCTTCACTTTTGTTTTAAGCTAGACATTAAATAAAGCTCAACCCTAAGTACCTGAGTGCAGCTGTACACAACTTTAAGACAAGGAGTCCTTTTAACTATGTGGGCGCACAAACTTCCTACATCTCCTGGATCTTTGCCATCTGAAGTTTTGTGTTTAGTTTTTATCCTCCCAAATACACAGATGTGTAAAAACATTTAGTTTCTCAGACATTCAAAGACCAATTAATTAAAGAGATAGGGCTATTTAAGTAAAGCTTAATTTTCTGCTTTTGTGGATAGCAAGCATTAGCACCTTTAAACCAGGAAAGTAACAGAAGACTTCAGCCACGTGGCAGATGCACACCCCTTTCTCCCCTTTTCAGAAAATGGTTTTACTGTTCAAAAAACCAAAATAATGCAGTGACTTACTTGGGTTGGAACGAGTACTGGAGGATATGCCAGCTTGTGATGTCTATACATCCAAAATGAAAAGAGCACAATCACTGCAATTCCCATTATAGGCACCAATGAATAAAGCAAGGTATTGAACAGAGGTGGCTTAGGTGTAACAGGATTGGAAGTTGCTGAAGAAAAAAAACAACACAAAAGGACACAGCTTTTAAGGAACAAAAATCATCCACTGTTTGAGATGTCCAGCGTCCTGATCTTATAAAAATTTTTGCAATCAGCACAACAGGATAACAATACTTGATTAAATACTCTAATAGAAACAGACTCATATTTATTAAAAAGTAGCATCTTGGAAAGAAATAATTTAGGTCCCCAGTACACATCAGCCCATCTAACTCTTCTTGTGCTTTTAAGCTCTGCGTATCTACAGTGTGTAAGAGATGTCTGTATTTTTAAAAGACTGCAAGAATGCCATTGCCTAATGAATAAAAAAAGAACCAATACAGAGGTTTAATCTTTGGAATGTATACAATAATATGGCATTAATAAGAAGAGGCCAGAAGTAATCTGCCAACATCCCTACATGCTACTGACTTGCTGACAGTAAAAGTTCTCTAGCTGAAGACACTTCCATGCAGCCCTGAGAAAGGCTCCAGAGAAACCCTGCCTCAGAGGCAGCTGGGGCAGGGGCAGCCACAGGCAGACCCCTGGGGCAAAAGAGCTTTCATGACAGTGAAGAAGAATGTCAATTATTGCCTTTGCAGTATTACTGACAAAAATGACAAAAATATCTCTTGGGTCAACAAAGGCCATTTTAATCTCACAGACATTTAATTTCAGAAACAACTTCCTCTATTTGGTACACAAGACATCTGCTGTTTTCAGTTCACTTATTAACATTATTCAGTTTTCCAGTAAAGATTAGATTATTGAGTGAGATATGCAAGAATAATCAAATAATTTTTATTTTTTTTTTTAAACAATTATTTTTTAAGTCTGGATATCTGATTTTCTTCATAACCTGGGAGGAAATCCTTTCTCCCTTTCTAAAGGTTATTGTGTCAATTCACAGAGGAACTCAAAGGTCCAATTAGTTCAAAGAAATAGAGCACTGTTTCAAGAAGAAGAGCATTCATAGGCTGGTACATGCATTTAAGGAAGATACAGCTTTTAGCCCAATGATTTATGGGCACTTACAGAAGCTTAACTATACAATTAAAGTAAGATTTGACAGTAACTTCTGTATCATAAAACAGCCAGTAATTTCAGATTATCCTTCCTTCTCACCCTCAGAAAAGAGCTAAAGTATCTTTTATCAATATAAATTACTTCTAGTACAGAGACCATTAAAAATAGAAGACACAAACTGGCAATTTTCTAGGTTCTTTATGTGAATGCACATGGTACTATCATGCAGGAATCGGAAACCTTCTGGCAGGAAAAGAAACATCACAACGGAAAATTCTTATCTCCTCAACATACATGCTATTAAATATTTCTGAACTCAGAAAAGCCGTTCCTTCAAAAATGCATCAAACTAACTTACGTTGTGTGACCTCCATTTCTGGAAAATAGAAAAAGCGTTCATTACACATGTTGCCTTCACAACAACAGAAAAACACTTCAGGGCTGTCTTTCTTCTCTATGCAATCATTCCTATAAAAGATAATAATAAAAATCTTACTAATTTTAATTTGGGAGGGAGGGTAGTGTTTAAGAGAAAACATACACTCGTATTTAAAATTTAAAGAGAACTTCATTAAATAATCCTGGACAACATACTACCCAATTAAGAGTAAAACCTGAAGAAACAGATTAAAATTTTGTTATTTTGTATTGCAGTGAAATATCATTGAAACTGAAATAGCACATTTTTGTAATTCTTAAGATAAAAGTAAAGAAAACCACCAACAGGATACTGAAGAACAGTCTGCAGTCTAGATTTAAATAGGACAAATGATCAAACGGCTAATGCTTAAACATAATCTCACAGTACTGGGTTGTAAGGGCTGGAGATGAGTGAGGAGGAGAATTTTTTAATTTTAGGGAAAAAAAAAAAAGATAACAAAATTTCTAAATTTCTACAATTTCCCCTGCCTACATTATGCACAGGGATAGGGCTTATTCCATCCCATCAGTTAAATGCAGGAAAGGAGTTCTATTAACAAATAAGCTGAAACTATTCAAGTCAGGAAAGAAAAACAGGCATCATGCAGGAGACAACTTGACAGCAGAAAGAAAAGAATCTGAAAATCCTGCAGAAATAATTGAGGATTGTAAATGCAGCTGAAGACTGTCAAAAAAGTTTTCGGTTCAGCTTCAAAAATTAGGGTTATTTTATAGAACCAGCTATTACAATTACACTCTACTGTAACTTCTATGAAACATTTATTCTTTGATGTTCTTAATCTGCAGTTGTTTGGAGTTCATCACACTGTAACTCGCTGTTCACTAAACCACTCTTCACTCCCAGAGATAAGATCTTGTTTATTAATGGATATTTTAGATGAACACTGCAGTATGCATTCCTACAAGATACAGCTAATGATGTCTTAAAGCCAAACAAATTTTTACTCAATTTTTAACTATTTCCTTCCCATCCTTCCTGCATTTTATTTCTTTTTCCATTGTTTTTTAGTTTGCTCAAGGAAGAATTTAATATAATGTGAAACTAATTGGATAACAATAGTACAGAACCAAATTCTTTTTCCAAATAAAAAAATTCTATTTCCATCCTGAAAGTTTTACATTTAGCAGAAATTAACTTAGTTCAGAAACTGTAACATCCCCACTTCTTCTGCAAAGCCACAACTAAGAATGGAATTTTTTATTTTTTTTTAAAAAGAAGGACCCCCAGAAAAAAAAAAGGAACACAAAACCCATGCAAACCAAGAACAAACCAATACTTTCCCATTCTCAGTGTCTTACAGTTACTAGATATTAGTAGCAATGAATAAGGTTTCTTTAAAATTGTCCTTCGCCTTCCAGCATAGCTGAATTTCAATTATGCTGTGCAAGCAAGCTTGCAGATGCTTTACTACTTCTCTGAGAAACGTATAAATCAGTACCACTGTTCAATTTAGCTTTAAACTGTCATTAAAGGACAAAACATCCTAGTGCGTGGTGAAATTTTATTTGGTTGAAATTACTATAATGATTTCTTCTACTCATTCAACATTAAAGAAACACAAGAAGAGAATTTTCTAAAATATTGCTAAAAAACAAATTCTAGGTACATTTTAATGAAGATGCTTTATGCATTTATTTTCTTCTCTCCCTTTCCAAGCAACTATTTTTTGGTCAAATAAAACTTACTACAGTACTTCAGAGAACTATAATACCACTTCTTAAGAGAGTCACGACCTTTATTCAGCCCCTATCTAACAAACCTCAAGTCCTGCTGTTACTGCTCACGGGTACTTGCTACACCATCTGCTATTAAAAAAAAAAGAAAAGACAAAAAAGACCGGAATTCTAGAATATTCAGTGTCTCCCAGTTGCCACTGAGGTGAGCTTTTTAATAAAATCAGCAAAATACTTTATGTAAAGAGCAGACACAAAGCACTGACTTTCCTACGCCAAAGATGTTGGAAAAGTGAACTACAGAATTCTGCATTCTGGTTCAGGAACTACATTTGCACTGTTGGCAATAACAGGCAATAACAAGTCATTAGAAAATCTATTATTAATGGCCAAAAAAAATAAATTAAATACGTGGATTTTAATATTTATTAAGTCAATAAGAAAAGGTAAAGCATGCTATTATGCAAACAAGACAAAGCACTTCAATAAGGTTGGGCCCCTAAACACAGCTATGCAAGGAGAGAAAAAAAAAAAAATGTGCATGCATGTATCTAAAAAGGAAACTATTCAAAATCTACTGTATTATGTCTCAAGTACTGATGGCAGAGAGGAGGATTTAAAAATTACAGACAGGTATAATAGTTTAAAATGAAAAATAAATTTAAAATTTATAGGAAAACTTACTTACCTATCATAACAATTGATGTCATCTAGCCAGCAACCCTGCTTCACAATTTCAATTGATCCAGAAATATTCTTCCATGTAGCAAAACAGTGTCGTCTTTTATCTTTATCACCATAACAAGGTTCAATACCACTGCGATTTGTCTTATCTTTTTCCCAATTAGCATTGTAGTAGATACACTCTTGTGTTTCTGATCTGCCAAGTATGGCACCTTTTAGGAATGAAAAGTAAATCACAATTAAACGGCATTCTGAAGGATAAGCCATATGAACAGTCAAAACCAGGATGTACTAAAATATACAATATGCTTTCTCCCCTCCTTTTTTTTTTTTAATAAAGAAAGAAAATATTTAGCTTTGACAAGCATTCCAAGTAAGTGTTGAAACATAAAACAAAGATCTTCTGTTAAGTCAAACAGTGACTTGGATAACTTAACAAAATTTGAAGAAATAAAGAACAAGTTATGGCAAGATTTTTCCCTGAATAGCAACAGCAGAGAAAATTTAAAATACTCAATTTAGTTATATTAGCTGAACAAGAAATTTTAGCAAGTAGACTTTACCAAAAGGCATTTTTATCTCTTATTACAAGCGCAAAAAAAGCAGGTTGTACATCTTAGAAACCTAAACCTAACCAATGAATTCAGTTTTAAACCATCAACATCTTTTCCCCTAGCTTTCATCTGTGATGTGGTTTCTTAACACAAAGCACTGAAGAATAAGACACACTATGCTAAAACAGTATTTTTTATGCCTTTCTGATTTGCCAAGTGAGCAACTGGATTGAGACTGATAGGTGTGAGGCAACAGCCCCACACTGCCAAGGACAGTGCTGGGTTTCTGTTCCCACCCAGTGAATCAGCTACAACATAAAGACATTAGATCTTGGTCATAACTCAATAACCAAACAAGTGCTGCTGCTCTCAGAAAGCTCAGGCCGTGTCTCCTCTTCCATAGTGTACACCAAACATACATGTAGTGGGATCATGCATGATGGCCAATGTGCATGATTCAGGTAGCAGAAGCACAGTGGTGTTTGGAGACCAAAGCGCTGATGCAGTCTCTATTCAACATGCTGGTGAACCACAATGGAATAGCAGACTAAGCTAACCTATCCTGCTATATCCTGATATAAAAATCACATGATTTTTATTTTTTGTCATCCCAGAATTCTTAAAAGTTTCTGAATTTCTGAAATTAATTTTGTCTTTTAAATTACAAACATAATTGAGTAATTGATGCCTATTGACAACCTACAGCAAAACCCAGCGAACAGTAACATACTGTGGCTCCCCCAGGTAGAGCCAAGTTCATAGTTCTAGCGTAGTATGAAGCACCAGTCTGTTTTTTGCAAAGGTAAACGGTTGTTAGGATGCAAAACTGTTAACAAAATACTGGGTGTAATAACTGGCTTTTATTTCTATTTACTGACAAGAGTATGTCATTAATCTTCATGCAAGCTTCATCATTTAACATGTACTAAATCTATGAAAAAACAGAGAGGGAGATCAAACTCCGAGGACTTATGTCAAAATTGGGGGTCAGGAGGACAACAATGCGCATTTACTTTGTGTACCCTTCTAATATTTTCAAGACAGTTCCATTACACATCTATACTGAAGACTAAACAAGAGGTCTTCCATAGCAGTCAATTCATACATACTTATTCTTATCACTCATTACCTCCTTTATTCACATACTTCCACAGTAATTTTGATACATCAATATTGTCTTCTTGCCATACCTGTACTTCCCTTTCTACACAAGGTTGTAACAAGCAGAGTGACTGTAACCCTGGCTTCCTTTGGGGGATGAAATCATTGTCCACCTCCATGTGGTAGAAGGTGGGGGCTGGGGTGACTGGCACAGTGGTAGAGGCTTCCATCATGTAACACCTCCTCAAACACACACAGCTGACAATAAGGTAATTTTTTCCTCAGTAAAGAGACCTATACTCTACATGGACCAAAAAAGCTGCACCTCTCCGGGTGATGAGAATCGTTTCAAACTGACAAGTGCTGCACCCCTCCTGAAGTGCAGCACACGGCACTGGAGTCGACTGCAGTGCTGACCATACTGGGCATCCCACATAACCACCTTCTGTAACTTTTGACTTTCACACATTCCCAAAATAGGCTGAGGATGCTGCTTACGCTTTTTGGGAAAGAGCCTGGATGTTCAATGGGTGAAATGCACTAGCCAGCTGGTAACACTGCAAGATGCAGCATGTTAACTATTATATTCTTTGTGCTGTGATGGCCTGACCTTTACAACTCCCAGCTATGGCAAGAAACAGATGAGACAACAGATTGAACAATTTGGTTCTGTCAGTGCAATAAAGCAGAAGTCCTGGATTTATCTCATGCGTGCCATTCCTTTCCTCCTGCTGCCAAGCCTAGCTTTGAAGGACCATAGGCAAGCTGAATCTGATAAAATTCAGAAACCACAGTAAAATTAACTTTGCACAAATATACATATCTTCTCTGTAGTCAGGTCTTCTTAACCACAAATGCTCTGAATCAGTTCAGCCTATCAGCTCGCCAGCAATCACACTGTTGGTTTAGTGACTTTGGATCTGACTGGAGCATCTACCTTAAGACCTTCTCTAGGGGTTGAGCAGACACTTGCAATAGGTCTTGCCAGACTAAAGAGATGTATGAACATACTGGGGCAATGCTGGATCAGTCTTCTCAAGCAATAAAACGGGAACCTAGTGGATGCAAGGGAAGAACAGAAGGAACCACACAAAGAAGCAGCCCTTAACCCACTGCACAAAGGCAGCATCTTCTAACCAGCTCTGCCACCCCCTCCACAGGAATCAAACTTTTAGAGAAGGGCAAGCTAGCATTTTCAGTGAAAGCAAATATTACTGGGTGCCAGTTTAGGCATAGTATGTCTATAATGAAACTCCTGTACCAATCTGGAGTGCTGACAAATTGCTTTCATATGCAATTGTCACGTCCTTGGGATACCTATCACTGAATCTCAAAAGACAAAACGCTATTGAAAGAAGCCATGAGCAAAGCACCAGCAGTATCCTATGGATGGAACTTAAAGTCTGAAAGATTCAAGAGGAAAACACGTTAAGAAAGCAAAGAATATTCCAGCACAGAGTTGAGTTTCAGCATGTTAAGACAGATCACATTTAGTATGTGCTGTTATCATATTGCAGTGAGCATGCTGCTGTATCACTATACACTTGTGTTCATCCGCAACAGCTGCAGTAAGAAAACCAACATCTGCTAGTGAACTTCTGCACTGCTGTTAATACGCTGTAATTGTCAGCAGTTACAGAAAGCAACTTACAAGCGTACATGTGCAGTCTGGAAAACCTCACCTTAGTAGGTATTTGAAGAACTGGCTACCATTTTTTTCAAGCAGAAAGACTGTATGAATTCCTGGAAATAAAATCTAGCCTTTATTATTATTAAAAATAAATGTGTCAAACAAGGAAATCGCTGCATAGCTAATAAGAAGGGCAATACCAACATAGCTCTAATTTAGAAAGGGACTACTGGAAAAAAGAAAGACAAATTTTCTATTACAGACACCACCACATTACACTCAGATGCGAAAAAAGAGAACTATAAATTCCTGGGAGTTTATTATCTGGCTTGATTTAGTAGACCTGAAACTGAGGAACACAACCCCGCTGGTTTCTACTGCAGGAATGTTTTTCTGACATTTTAAATAAAATGTCTGAAACATGATCATCTCCCTCATTTGTTGTAAGACCTTAAAACCGACACATCCTCCCCCAATCCCATGCCCTATTCCCATCCCCAAATGCCGCTTTTGCAGCATCCTTGGTTGGGGACACCACATAAAGGCAGACACAAAGGCTTTCAGTCAAAGGGAAGAGGAATCTGTCATTCTTTGCTGGGTTATGAAATCTATGAAAATTTTTAAGCTGAAGTCATAAAACCTTGTCAAAATGCTGCAGAGGTTAGTCTGATGGCACAGAGACCTAAAACTGGAGAAAACAAAACAAAACAAAACAAATCAAAAAAACCCCTCAGGCCTCCTGAAAGCCAGCCTATATATAGGTAGACTGCTCTGTAGGGCACTCCCAACATGCACCCAACACATTCTTAACCGGAAGGGAACCAAAAATAAAATACCAATCTTATTTCTGCATGTCTTCCAGCATTAGACAGAACTACAGACTTTATTTCCATGTGATATGTTTCTGAGATGCAAACAGCAACACTGAAGTCTGGAAATAGTAATCACATCTGTACTTCTTGGCTGCACAACCTACCCAAACAAGTTCACTATGCTACACTTGAACCTCATTGTATTATAAGCACTGACAACAGTATTGGTAAGAATTTATATGCAGAGATACCCATGTGATAGAAAAGGACATTTTATTTTTTTTTTTTTGCTGTTTCCTAGAAAACAGTATATAAAGACTGAAAGGGTTAAGTTCAGTGTGGCAGCTACATCTGTAAGAGTAGAAAGCTTACTTAAATTCTGTTACCTCTGGGATTAACATGAACTCATTCAGAGCACCAAGATTCACCAACACAAGGGATGGAGTAGTTTATTAGAATAAACTTGCTGAGCAGGACAGCCCAAAGCACCACAGGCACTAGACATAGTGACAGAACGGCCTGTTCACTAGAGATCTCAATTGTAACACACTGTCCTAGAGGAACAAAAAGAAAAAAAAAAAGGCAACCCAAACCAACAAAAAAAACAAAAAAAAAAAAACAAACCAACCAACCATTAAAAAAAAAACCAAACACCAAAAAACCAGAAAATCTGGCAAAAACAGAAGCAGCATCTTGCCCATAAACATACATTTGTTTCTGCAGTGGTCTCATACATACTTTTTAGACTCAAATATATCTAAAACCAGACTACAAATATGTACTCTAAAGGCCTAGGTTTGAAGTTCCAACAAGCAGGAAGCAGGTTGTTATAATTTATATACTTTTCCTAACACCCAGGAGAATGTTAGTCAAAGGAAAAATAAAGAGGCTATTTTCAACCTAATACAGAAAACTGAGTTACAACAGAACACCTATTCTGTCCTCTTTATACACACCAGTATGTCCCAGAACGTATTCTTTTGATCTTTAGACAAGTATTAATCCCATTATCACTGTCCCCTATGATGGCAGGCTGAACAAGGACTGCATAAAACAAGCAACAGTGCACTCATTAAATCCAAACACTACCGCAATTAACTTAAGCAATGCAAGAA